GCCGCTGAGTATGTAAAACGGTACAGCCATTATAGAAAACAGTTTGGCAGTTTCTTACAAAGTTAAACATACATTTACCACACAACCCAACAATTCTACTCCTAGGTTTTTATCCAAGAAATGTCCTACAAAGATCTGTACAATAAAAGCTTTATTTATAATAGAAAAAAAAACACAAAAAACTGGAAACAATTCAAATGTCCATGAAGCTGTCAACGGATAAATAAACTATGGTCCATATACTGGGATACTACTCAGCAGTAAAATGGAACAAACTACTGCTTCATGTAACAACATGGATGAATTATGCTAAGCATTATGTTAAGCAAAAGAAGCCATACCCAAAAGGCTACATATTGTATGCTTCCATTTATATTTCAGAAAGGCAAAATTATAGGGATAGAAATCAGTTCAGTACTAGTCAGGGGTTAGGGGAAAGACTGACTAGAGGGGCCTGAAGGAACTCTGGAGTGATTTGAAAATGTTCTATATCACAATTGTGGCGGTAGTTACACAACTGTATACATCTATTAAAATTTGAACTGCATATCTAGAACTGTGTACCTAGAAAAGTTTCTGTAAATAAATTATACCACAAAATCTGACTTAAAAAGTGCATTTCAGGGACTTCCCTGGTGGCGCAGTGGTTAAGAATCCTCCTGCCAATGCAGGAGACATGGGTTCAAGCCCTGGCTGAGAAGATCCCATATGCCGCGGAGCAACTAAGCCCGTGTGCCACAACTACTGAGCCTGCGCTCTAGAGCCCGCGAGCCACAACTACTGAGCCCATGTGCTGCAACTACTGAAGCCCACGCACCTAGAGTCCGTGCTCCGCAACAAGAGGAGCCACCGCAATGAGAAGCCCCCGCACTGCAACGAAGAGTAGCCCCCGCTTGCCGCAACTAGAGAAAGTCCACGCACAGCAACGAAGACCCAACACAGCCAAAAAATAAATAAATTTATTAAAAGGAAAAAGTGCATTTCAAATTAATGGCAATGGGAACACTGAAAGTTGTAATTTATGGAATGTGGCCAACCTGCACTAAGAGGAAAATTAATAGCCTTAAGTGCTTTCATTATTAAACAGAAGAATAAAAATAAATGTACCAACCACTTGAAAGGCACAAGAAAGCCATGCTTCTGGCAAGAAAAGGGGAACATAAACACAATAGTAAGAATAAAATAAAGATAAAATTTTAAACACAGAGATACTAAAAATTATAAAGCTTCTTTATACTGATACTTATGAATCTGCAAAATAAATTAAATGGAAAACAAATTATCAAAACTGATTCAAGAGGTAGAAAACTTTGATAGGGCAATAACCATGTAAGTAATTAGAAATATTCTCAAAACTCTATCCCTGGAAGAAGTTCCAGGTTCAGATGGACTTATGGCACTTTTAAAGCTATACCCTCAGAAGACAGAAAATTCTTATGTCATAGCTCTTAACCATTTCAGAGCATGGCAAGGGTAACTATTTACACTGCATTTACATTTTATTTATAACTACTTACATAATATTTACATTGTATTAGGTATTGTAAGTAATCTAAAGATGATTTAAAGTATATAGGAGGATATACATAGGTTATATGCAAAAACTACTATTTTATACAAGGAACTTGAGCATCTGAGGATTTTGGTATTCAGCAGGGGGTACTGGAACCAAGCCCCCAAAGATGTCAAGGGACAACTGTGTATCAATTAAAGGAAAAAAACATGCAACCACATGAATGAATCTCATCAGTATAATGTTGAGCAAAAGAAGTAAAAACAAACAAAACTAAACAATATTTTTAGGGAGGCATATATATAGATGGTAAAACTATAAAGAGCAAAGAAATGATTATCACAAAGGTCAAAACAGTGGTTTCCATTGGGTGGGTATTAAGGCTCTGATCAGGGAGAATGATGTGAGAGAAGGAAGCAGGGTTCTGTGATTTTGCAGTGTTCTCTTTCTAGCTGGATGGTGGTTACATGGGTTTTGATTTACAATTATTATTTAAACTATTAAATATACATTGTACATACTTTTTTGTATGTGTGATTTATCTCAAAATAAGGAAAGAAATGAGATAGAATAATACAGTGCTCTCACTTGGTTTGGTTCCCTAAAATGACTGAGCACATTCTCTTCTTGGATAATATGTTTAGTAGAAAAAAACACAAGAGGACAGAGCTCTCTTAATTCTTAATTAAGTCCTCTTAAGAAGCTTTCTTAAGCATATTAAGTCTCTCTGAACCCTAATTTGCTCATCGATTAAGTGCAAATACTAATTACTGTCCTTATGTCTTGGGGTATTTGTGACTATCAATCATAATATACCAAAACATGTTTAGAAAATTGCAAACAAACAAAAAAACACAGCAGCTCAGTTTTCATAATCTGAAATTCAAAGGTTTTTGTTACACTGTAGCTATGATCATACCAAGAGATAATAAAATCCATGAAAGTAAGATTTATTTCCGACAATTTTCCATTTCAATTTAAGCAGCATTTTTTTAAAAGTGGTGCATCTGTCATCAGTAATGGGCAAACAAATAGGGTTCCACTTTGAGAAAAAATAAATATAAAACATTAATTTAACCTAGGAAATGCTATAAAAGATGACACATTAAAAGTCTAGAGATTGAAATCTGTTCTTGTATTTACAAAAGAAAACTTAAGAATGTCTTTTCCTCTGTGTGAAAAGGAGAAATACAGTTCGCTAAGTTCCCCATCCAGTACCTTTCTCTAATAAATACAGTCAGCACCAAAACTGTTCTCCCTAAATTGAGTAAAGGAGACAAGAATAAAATAAACAATTTAACTGGGCTTCTCAATTAGCCTTGGTGCTGCTATGGGACAATTAAAAAGAAACTGAGAGGCAAGTCTAATTCACTAAAACAAACCTAAACATTAAAGGATGTAAATTTTTCAATAACTAAGTAATATCTTTGAATGGTGACACAGCGTAACTAGACTTATCATGGTGATCATTTTGAAATGTATAGAAAAAGATTACTATGTTGTGTAACAGGAACTAACACAGTGTTGCAGCTCAGTTATACTTCAAAAGCAAGCACACAAACAGACAAACATACAAACAAACTCATAGAAAAAGAGATCAGATTTGTGGTTACCAGAGGCACGGGGTAGTTGGATGAAAGCAGCCAAAAGGCACAAACTTCCAGTTATAAGATAAATAAGTACCAGGAATGTAATGTATAGCATGATAAATATAATTAACACTGTTGTTAGGTTATGTATGAAAGTTGTTAAGAAAGTAAATCCTAAGAGTTCTTATAACACAAAAAAATATCTTTTAAATTCTTTAATTTTGTATCTATGAGATGATGGATGTTCACTAAATTTATTGTGTAATAATTTCATGATGTAAGTTGAATCATTACACTGTATACCTAAAACTTATACAATGCTGTCAATTTTATCTCAATAAAACTGGAAAAAAAAGGGAAAAAAAGAAAGAAGTTTTATATATTTACTTTGCCACTTCTAACTTCTGCCACCAATATCAACAATGCTCTTGGAAATTTTTTAGATTGAAACACTTAGAAAAAGACAAAGATAATATTGGGTTGGCCAAAAAGTGCCTTTGGTTTGTAAGTAAAACTAAAAGACACCTTTTTCATTTCCACCAAAAACTTTACTGAACAACATATTCACTCTTTTGTGCCACTACCTTCTGTCATTTTTTAGGCAACTTCATAATTCCATCTTCCCAAAACTTTTTATCTTTTTGAGCAAAGAACTGTTCCAGGTGCCTTTACAGTCTTCCAGGAAATTGAAACTTTTTCCATGAAGAGAATTTTGTAAAGACCAAAATAAATGGAAATCCGAAGGTGCATTGTCTGGTGAATATGGCGGATGAATCGGAACTTCCCAGCCAAGCTGTAACAGTTTTCGCCTGGTCATCAAAGAAACATTCTGTCTTGCATTATCCTGATGAAAGATTAGTCTACTGACTAATTCTAGACACTTTTCGTCGAGTGCTACTTTCAGTTGGTCTAATTGGGAGTAGTACTTGTTGCAATTAATCCTTTGGTTTTCCGGAAGGTGCTCATAATAGAGGACTCCCTTCCAATCCCACCATATACACATCACCTTCTCTGGATGAAGACCGGCCTTTGGTGTGGTTGGCGGTGGTTCATTTCGCTTGCCTCACGATCTCTTCCGTTCCACATTATTGTACAGTATCCACTTTTCACGCCTGTCACAATTTTTTTTTAACATCTTTATTGTAGTTTAATTGCTTTACAATGTTGTGTTAGTTTCTGCTGTATAACAAAGTGAAATCAGCTATACGTATACACAATTTGTTTTAATAACGGAACGTTTTTGTTACGTTTAAGTAGAGAATTGCATGTGGAAATATAACTTATGTGGAACCCAAACATCAAAGCGATTAACATAACCAAGCTGGTGTAAATGATTTTCAATGCTTGACTGGATATTCTGAGTATGTCAGCTATCTTCTGTGGGGTATAATGTTGATTGTTCTCAATTAATATCTCGATTTGATGGCTATCAACTTCAACTGGGGTATCCAACCGTGGAGCAACGTCCAGCGAGAAATCTCCAGCACAAAACCTCACAAACCATTTTTGACATGTTCAGTTAGTGACAGCACCTTCTCCATACACTGCACAAATCTTTTTTTGCATTTTTACCTTTCTTGAAATAATAAAGCATAATAGGTAAAAAAGGTTGCTTTTTTCTTCCATCTTCAATATTAAAATGGCTACACAAAAATTCACCAATTTTGATAAGTCTTGTATTAAATGTATGCTGATATGACAGCTGTCACATACAATCTAACAAAATTGTTTCGAATGAAGTTAAACACAACTAAGTGCCACTAGAGCCATCTTACAGAAAAAAACCAAACAAACCTTTTGGCCAACCCAATATAAAAATGTAAAGCAAAACAATATGCTCTATTATAATACTATATTATTTTTCTATATAAAATATTAATGTTCAAAGTTCTGCATACCTGAATGTTTTCCCTACTCCAAGTATGTGGTGTTTTACTGGCAAGTAATTTCAGATCTTGAATAGCAAGTCTCTTTACTGCTTTCCTGGGGTCATTCTTCAAATACTGCAATAGAAGCTGAATCTACAAAAGAAATAAGTCACTCCATGAATGATACTGTCACTGAAATTATCATTAGGGATGCAGTGTAAGTTAGTGAAACTTACATTTGAGACAGAGCTCATTTCAAATTACAGCCCTGTCATTTATTCGCTATGTGCCCATGTTTGGACCTCTTTCTCCTCTTGTATAGAAATATACTATCATTTTACTTGCAAGGTTCCAGCACAAGACCTGGCCTCAAACACTCAATTCTTCCCTTTTTTTTCCCCGCCAACTCTATGCTCTGCCACGTACCCCCACCTCCCCCTCATTTCTCTCAAGGCTCCTAAGAATTAGCACTATGAACAGAGGAAAAAAGCAAGCAAAAGGAAATGAAACCTTCTCTGATCTTTATCAGAGAAAGGGATCTTAATGTTATCAAAACTTATGGGTTACTTATTTTTTATCGTATACTTAATATGCAAGTTTATTGAAAAGGCAGTTAAAGAAAATTGACATTACCTGCTTAGGAGTATCAACCAAGGATGAAGCTGCAAGCAGAGTAAAGGTGTGCAAAGAAACAATCACCATTTTGTTGGAAGGGTAGGATGTGACTAGCTGTTGTAAGAGCTCACGAGCACTGGATGCCAAAATTGCATCATGGTGCATGTGCTGCAGGATAGGGATCAACTTCAGCTTCAAGTCGACTGGCGTGGCTAGACCTAGATACAGAAAGAATGCTTAGAGATTTCTGATCATCATCCTGGATAATAGTTCACAGTTAAAAGGTCTGATTCAATGAGCAAAATGACCATTTAAAAACAAATAGTATATGAGTATTATGGTTATAACATTAAAGATAATTATATACTAGAGATAATCAACAAGTTCAATAGTTTTTTTTCAAAAGTATGTATCTTAACATTAAGTTGTGGGTGCTTATTAAACTACATGCTGATAGTAGAAAATGCCCTTAAAAGGCACAGTAGAAAGCAGTCATATTTGCTGCCTGTTTCTTCCCAAAGGATACTAAAAGATATACACATACATGTAAACATATACACACGTATATGTACAAACTCAATGGTGATTATTTGATTATATTTACAATTTTAATTATTTCCTTCAATTCTAAGTCAAGATCAGGATGTGAACAGACTGTGTATGGAGCAGTTTTGAAACTCTGTGAACTTTGTGTAGCAATGCCTTTCTTTACAGTATACAAAGCTGGAACTCCATGAGGATTAATTCCAAAGCATCTTTTCCTGTCAACATTGGAGCTACATAAACAAAAAAGTCTTTTCTTCTACAGCACGGCTTTGAGGTGACAGTGAACAAAAAACTGTCATCATAATATACTACACATAGGTCAAAAGCTAATTTATCTCTACTGATCACTGGTTTTGCCACTGTGAAGTTAACTGTTAGTGTGAATACATAAATATTTCAACATCCAACGGTGGCTTACATCAACTAAGTCCCTTACTATTTGGCCTCTCTTTGAGTTTAGCCAAAACAGAGAGTCCCAGGAGATGGGAGGGAGAATAAGGTCAGAGCATTTACTCCCTGGTTTTCTCTCTGCAGGATCATATCAGGCTTATGTTATTATTGTTTTGATCCTTAAGGTACTGAATGCGTTTGAATGACCAGTCTATCTTTGAAACTCTTTCTCAATAGCTTCTGCTTTTTCACACTCTTCCTGGTTTTTGTCCTTTCTCAATCTCTTTGTATTCTCCTCTTTATCCACACTTTAACTTCTGGTATTCCTTGGGCTTGGTAATATATTATCTTCTTACCCTATGTACTTTCCCTGAGTGAGCTTATATAAACCCATGGCTTCTATTACCAGCTATATGCTTTTTTTTTTTTTTTTTTTTGCTGTACGCGGGCCTTTCACCGCTGTGGCCTCTCCCGTTGCGGAGCACAGGCTCCGGACATGCAGGCTCAGCGGCCATAGCTCACAGGCCCAGCTGCTCCGCGGCATGTGGGATCTTCCAGGACCGGGGCACGAACCCGTGTCCCCTGCATCAGCAGGCGGACTCTCAACCACTGCGCCACCAGGGAACCCCACCAGCTATATGCTTTTAAAGACTGCCTCCCCCTCGCCTCCCTGCTCCCTGAACTTCAGATATGTGTATCCCATTACCTCTGGTCATCTCCAATGGGATGTCTCAGATGTATTTTATACTTAACACAGCCCAAAGACAACTTCTGATCTTTGCTACAAAATTGCTCCTCCAACTTTTCCCATTTCAGGATATGACAACTCCATCATTACAGCTCCTCAGAACTTAGAGTCTTTCTTGATTCCCTTATTTCTCTCACACCCACATCCAAATTTATCAACAAATCTTGTTGGTTTCTATCTTCAAAATATAACCCAAATCTGACTGTCTTTCCACCTTCATTGCTATCACATTGGTCCATTTCCACCACTATCTCTTGACTGGACCATTGCAACAGTGTCCTAAGTATTGTCTCTACTTAGGCCTTTCCCCATGGCAGACTCCTGTCGCATATCTCCCCCTTCTCCTCTGCAAGTCTATTCTCAATCCAGCAGTCAGAGGGACTCTTTGTGTTTACAGACATTTTTACTGAAGGCTTAGGGAGACTCAAGATTTTACTTTGCAGAAACACAAGCAGCTTAAAATTTAATTTAAGGATACTTTATGCCTAAAACTTGCTCACCACTTCTATATCTTGAGCTCCAATCTTCCTCCACCTTGCCCCCATTCCTACCCCTGTGTTTTTCTCCCTGTCTCTCTTTCTATCTCCTAATTCCTGTTCATTTACTTCCACTTTAAATTTATTTATTTGTTTGTTTGTTTTTATTTAATTATTTTTGGCTGCATTGGGTCTTCGTTGCTGTGCGCGGGCTTTCTCCAGTTGCAGTGAGCAGGGGCTACTCTTCGTTGTGGTGTGCAGGCTTCTCACTGCAGTGGCTTCTCTTTTTTTTTTTTTGCGGTACGCGGGCCTCTCACTGTTGTGGTCTCTCCCGTTGCGGAGCACAGGCTCCGGACGCGCAGGCTCAGCGGCCATGGCTCACGGGCCCAGCCGCTCCACGGCATGTGGGATCTTCCCAGACCGGGGCACGAACCCGCGATCCCTGCGTCGGCAGGCGGACTCTCAACCACTGCGCCACCAGGGAAGCCCCGGTGGCTTCTCTTGTTGCAGAGCACGGGCTCTAGGCACACGGGCTTCAGTAGTTGTGGCTCGCGGGCTCTAGAGTGCAGGCTCAGTAGCTGTGGTGCATGGGCTTAGTTGCTCCGCAGCATGTGGGATTTTCCCAGACCAGGGCTTGAACCCGTGTCCCCTGCACTGGCAGGTGGATTCTTAACCACTGCATCACCAGGGAAGTCCCTACTTTAATTTTTTACAGATAAAACTTATGGAACAAAAATGAATCTTAAGTATGCATATTAATGGATTTCTACATATGAATATATCCATAAAGCCACCACTCAAGCTATACAGAATCCTCCAGCACCCTAGGAGGCTTACATCAACTCCCTTGCTATTTGCCTTCTCTCTGGGTGGAGAGCCCCAGCAGAGGGGAAGAGAAGAAGGCTCAGGACTGAGTATTTATTCCTTGGCTCCTTCTCTGCAGGGTCACATCAGGTCACATCATTCTGAAGGTCAGTTTTTCAAAGTGGCCCTCTTGATGTGACTCCAGGTTCTGGTAACCACTCCCTCTTCTGCACCATAGAGGGGTATAGGACTACATCATCCCCTATAGTTTACCTTGCCCACACTTTTGTAAATCGTTCCTTCATTAAACCCTACTAATTATCTCAGCTCAAATGTGACATCTGTTTCCTGCTGAGATCTTGTCTGATACAGCAGGCATTCAATAAAAACCTGCTCAATGAATGAGTGATACTTCCTTCTAATGATAGCTTTCTGCAGGACAGCCCTTTTCTGGCAGCAGGGGAAAAAAGACAAAGGAATAAACAGAAACAGGACAAAGCTCAACCACTGTATCTTGGTCTTCAATTAAGTGATTTTATTGTGGCTCCATTTCCTTTTCCATAAAATAGAGGTAGTAGTATTACCTATCCAAGTCTGCCAAATTGCACAATTCAAAGCAATGCCATCTAGAAATACACAAAGAGAGTCGTGTTCTCTAGAGCTGTGCAATGCTGTAACCCCAGAGCTTCCTTTTATGAATATTATGAGGGTAAATGGGGTAATACATGTGAAGCACAGTATGGAAGATGAGGTTAGAATACTAAGGCTTTGTAGGCTACAGTGAGGAATTTGAATTTGAGTTTCGTTACAGCTGGAAGATACTGGAGGGACATTAGCAGAGTGAAGAGAGTCCCAGAGCTCCTAACAGCACAGCTCTCCCCCAGGTCAGAATGTTTTCCCCCTAAATATCTGCATTTCTCACTCAAATATCACTTTATCAGAAGTCTTCTTTGATCAACATATATAAAACAGTAACTTCCCCCCTTCTGTCCTGCCATCTGCTCTGGGGACTCTCTATCCTTCTTACCGCACTTGTTCTCCGCAGCACCTGATATGTCATAAATTTACTTATCTGTTGCCACCACCAACCCTTCCACCATTAGAATGTAGGTTACATGAGGGCAAGGGCTTTGTTTTGTGTACTACTGTATCCTAAGCACCTAGAATAGTTCTGGCATTTAGAAGACACTTAATTAACATTATTTGAATGAATAAACGAATGAATAGTGACTAGCACACAGTAAGTACTTAATAAATGTTAGCAGCTAATATTAATATAAATCCCATTAAGTTACTTCATAATACCAAATGAAGCATACATACCTTGAATCATTTCACTGATTTTGTTACAGATTCCTACAGCAAAATCCCTTTGGAAAGAGAAAACAGCAAAATCATTAAAACCAAACAATTAAATTTGCTTCAGTTATCTGAGGACTTAAAAGAAACAGAACACAGTAAGCACAGGAGAAATGCAATACTCCAAATCGTAACTAATATTCCTAAGGTCAGGTGCCAGGGGTGGGGTAAGAAATGCAACTGAAACCAAAACTCCAAACAGCAGTGGGCTTATGCCAACACTGTTCCCACATGATTTTCAAGGAAAAATGCTCTGATTTATGAGCATTGTTGCAATTTGCATTACTAAATGACACTGTCTGAAAGACTCAAGGTCACTATCTCGGTCTACAATGTTTTAGGACACACTTTTAATTAAGAGAAGCTTTCAACACACAAGCGATCACTTACGTAAACAATAAAATATATACCAAATATTCTGAATTTTAGAAAAACAGAGTAAGTACGAAGTAGTAGAAACGCAGTAGGAAATATGGATAGAATCTTACTAAGAGCCAAATTATTTAAAAGTGGCCATTTTTTAGATTAAAGACCTAAATGTAAGACTGGATACTATAAAACTCCCAGAGGAAAACAGGCAGAATACTCTCTGACATAAATCTTTTTGCATCCATCTCCTAGAGTAATGGAAATAAAAACAAAAATAAACAAATGGGACCTAATTAAACTTAAAAACTTTTGCACAGTAGAGGAAACCATATGCAAAGCAAAAAGACAACTTACAGAATGGGAGAAAATATTTGCAAACGATGCAACAAAGGATTAATCTCCAAAATACACAAACAGCTCATACAGCTCAGTATCAAAGAAACAACCCAATCAAAAAATGGGCAGAAGATCTAAATAGAAATTTCTCCAAAGAAGAAAGAAGACATACTGATGGCCAAAAGGCACATGAAACAATGCTCAACACTGCTAATTACTAGAGAAGCACAAATCCAAACTACAATGAGGTATCACCTTACACCAGTCAGAATGGCCATCATCAAAAAGTCTACAAATAATAAATGCTGGAGAGGGTGTGGAGAAAAGGGAACCCTCCTGCACTATTGGTGGGAAGGTAAATTGGTGCAGCTACTAGGGAGAACAGTATGGAGGTTCCTTACAAAACTAAAAATAGAACTACCATATGATCCTGCAATCCCACTACTGGGCACATACCCTGAGAAAACCATAATTTGAAAAGATACATGCACCCCAATGTTTACTGCAGCACTATTTACAATAGCCAAGACATGGAAACAACCTAAATGTCCATCAACAGATGAACAGATAAAGAAGATGTGGTATACATATACAGTGGAACATTATTCGGCCATAAAAAAGAACGAAAGATGCCATTTGCAGCAACATGGATGGACCTAGATTGTCATACTAAGTAAGCCAGACTGAAAAAGACAAATATGATACATCTTAAATGTGGAATCAAAAAAAATGATACAGATGAACTTACATACAAAACAGAAATAGACCCACAGACATGGAAAATAGACTTGTGCTTATCAAGGGGGAGGGGGAGGAGGGATAAATTAGGAGTTTGGGGTTAACATATACATACTACTATATATAAAATAGATAACACATAGGACCTACTGTATAGCACAGGGAACTATACTCAATATTTTGTAATAACCTATATGGGAAAAGGATCTGAAAAATAGATATATATATGCATAACTGAATCACTTTGCTATACACCTAAAACTAACACAACATTGTAAACAAACTATACTTCAATTAAAAAAATAAAATAAAAATTAAAAACAAAGTAGGCATTTTAAAAATATTATATATGTGTAAAGTATTTTCCAAGGTGTTGCTTTTGAGTCTGTTGCAATTGAAATATCACTGAATGTTGCAAAAGTTATTAATAACATGAATTTTTGGGATAAAACATTATATAACATGTAAGGAAATAAGATACAGATAATATGATCTAACTTGGCTCTTTTAGTCATGATAAATTATACACAGGGCATGGAATACTTCCCCTCTGCAGTTTAGATGTCTATATAAAACATTTTCTGCCATTAAGATATTATTTAATATTCTCTGACAAAATGGAAAGCACACATCAAGTACACAGTGGTTGTCTGCAGGAAAAATACCATGCAGTCATTTGAGTTTCTACATGAACTACCCATTTTTTTTCATGAAATTCCGTAATTATTCAGAGTTGGCTATTTGCAGATATTTTCTAAAAAGGTGAATAAAGAAAGCTTGTAACTTTAAGGAAGGTAACTGGGAAAATTTTTTGCCAATCTCAGCTTCTAAGCAAAAATTAGCATTTCAGAAAACTTGTATCTGTCACCATGAGCTTGACAGCTTAATATTCACAGACCTTCCTGATGAGATCAGCGGTGATAGTAACAAATGTGATCCTTTGATATTTTACAATGAAAAAGGTCAACATTTGGAAGACCTGCATAACACAGTGAACGAATATTTTCCAGAAGACCAATATCTAAGTTATAAAACCATACACGGGTAAGAGAGGCCAATGGCTTTCAACGTAACAGTACATATTCACTGGTGGCTTTAGAGTTCACAGGGCAATTAGACTTTAAGAACCAACACTTTTCTAGTTTTGGTATAGGATCAAAGAAAAACATCCATAATTACCTATAAAGCCTTTAAAAACACTCCTTTCTTTTCCAACTATATATCTGTGTGAGGCTGGATTTTTTTCACATATTTTAACCAAAATAACATTGCAACAGAAACAGTGAACACAGAATCAGATATGAGAATCCAGCCAGACATTAAAAAGATTTGTAAAAATGTAAAACAACACCACTCTTCCCACAAAATTGATTGTTTTCGAAAATAATTATTTTCATAAAGATATTTTTATGTTAACATATTAAGAATTTGTTGCTTTTGCGGTACGCGGGCCTCTCACTGTTGTGGCCTCTCCCGTTGCGGAGCACAGGCTCCAGACGCGCAGGCTCAGCGGCCATGGCCCACGGGCCCAGCCGCTCCGCGGCATGTGGGATCTTCCCGGACGGGGGCACGAACCCGTGTCCTCTGCGTCGGCAGGCGGACACTCAACCACTGTGCCACCAGGGAAGCGCCAGAATTTGTTACTTTTTGAATGAACTAATAAATATTTTAAAAATTTAGGCATTTTCATTCTAACATAGTTAACTATCAGTTGATATAATAATCCATATAAACAAAAAAAGCTCTTTGAGGACTTCAATAATGTTTGAAGAGTGTAAAGGGATTCTGATACCAAATAGTTTCAAAACTACTGCTCTGATATCAGCCTCACATTTGATAAGAAAAAGTAAGTTGTAAATGTCTTTCAGGTATAAGGCAAAAGGTGTATTAGGTATGTATAGATGACCTGTTCACATTTCAGAGTGCTCCTGTACTTGTTATTCCTTCTGCTTGGAATATCCTTCCTCTAGATTGCTGCCTCTTCTTCAGCACCCAGTTTCAGCTCAAATGTCACCTACTCAGTGAGGCCTTCCCTGATCACTCTACCTAAGCAGCTCACTCAGGTCATCATCACAATGACAGAACTGTTCTATTTTTCCATAACATTAATGAGCAGCTGAAACTACTTTGTGTTTACATCACAACAGGTCATTCATCTTTTCCACTTCTGTATTCCTGGTGCTTGGAATAGAGTCTGGACATGATGGATATTCACTAAGTATTTCTTCACTAACTATATAATAACTTTTTTTTAAATAGTATCTTTTTTTTTTTTTAATTTTTGGCTGTGTTGGGTCTTTGCTGCTGTGCTCGGGCTTTCTCTAGTTGCAGTGAGCGGGGTCCACTCTTTGTTGCAGCGCGCAGGCTCCTCATTGCAGTGGCTTCTCTTGCTGTGGAGCACAGGCTGTAGGCGCATGGGCTTCAGTAATCGTGGTGCGCGGACTCAGTAGTTGTGGCTCGTGGGCTCTAGAGCGCAGGCTCAGTAGTTGTGGTGCATGGACTCAGTTGCTCCGTGGCATGTGGGATCTTCCCAGACCAGGGCTCGAACACGTGTCCCTTGCGTTGGCAGGTGGTCTCCCAACCACTGCACCACCAGGGAAGTCCCACTAACTATATAATAACTTTGATAACAACTCAAAGTTTAAAAGTCTGTTACACTCCTCTAGGGTCAATAAACTGCAAGTTAGAAGCCTGCAGTTTTCTTTCCTTTTTTTCTTTTTTTTTGGTCTAATAATATTTTTTTAAATTCTTAATGTCAGCATAAAGAATATGTTAAGAATATATAGTCTTGTATGGTGAAATAAACAGAATAATCCAATTCTCCAGCTTCTTCCCACCACCCCCCACCCCCAAATTCCGATGTCACACCATTGGTCATACACTCCTGCACTGTTACCACCTACTGGTACCAAGGGGCTACTCCTTTTAGATGGTGAGTGCACCCTTCGGTTCACCACAGTCATCACGTGAAGTCACTTCTCTCATTGACAATGCCTCCCTGGTCCCTGAAGGCATTTGGGTTTGCAACTCCTGCTCTGGGGCTAGCTCTTAAAAATTATAACCTTTTTCAGAACAAGTCACATGTGGTTGTGGTAGCAGACAGGTGGAAACAGGATTAAATAAATTCTTAAGGTCTTTTTTGGCCAGTTTCTCTAATTTGTTTAAGATCCAAAATTGATGGAGATACTAACATAAAAATCCATCCGTATTGGTTGAGATATTTGATCTCAAGCCAGGTCATCACTTCTGGGGGAAGAGGTAAATGCTAATCTGAAAAAGACGTATTTGCTTATTCACACTGATACATCTAGATAGGTCCTTCAGACTTTCCTATTGCACTAATTTGGTATTTTTAAACATCACAAATCACAAGTATACCATATTGAAGGCTGGTATGTGAAAAACTGCTTCTACATAAACTATTAAATGTTTACTGGTCATCAATAAGAAAAAAATGCCAACTTTCAAAAGCACAAATAAGAACTGTCTTTACTCAGATATTTCTCTTCCTCAATTATTGCCACACCTACTACTTTCGATCAGTGAATTAAAGACTATATGCTTTCTATTCTCTAATCTCCTTTTCCAATGAGTAATCCTGAAATTCTGAAGGCTTCATAAGAGCAGCTGAAGAGAAGAATGTGATGTATTAATAAAATATAAAGGAAGACTGTTGGTGATTAACTCTTTCAAGTCTTATCCAAATTTAGCAGAGGCTCTTAATGTAAATGCTACTTTTTATTAAAAAAAATTCATAGTCATCTGATTATAAAACCAAAACTTGCTCCTAGCAGGATATACAGAAATTTGTAAAAAAGAAAACAAAAATAAGATAACCATCTTACCAGCCAGAGATAATACTTCGATATATATCTTTCTAGTCTTTTTTCTATTCCATAAATATAAATACTTGTTTTTTAAATAAATCTATAATATCATATAACCTATTATGTAACCTATTTCCAAATATATTTCTAAAATATATGCGTTACAAAAGCTGATACAGTATTTCGTTGTACGGTCATATCTATCTTACTAGCACACTGGTTGGAATTTAAGTTGTTACTAATTTTTTTGGTTACGATAACCCTATAACTAGCATCCTTGTAAGTAAATATCAGTACACATTGCTGACTCCTTAGGATAAGTTCTTATAAGTGGATTTTCTAGGTCAAAGGAATTTACATGTTTGAAGCAAAATACATATTACCAAAATGTCCTCCAGAAAGCAATGCTACTTCCCCATCAGTCACTAAAAGGAATAATATATATTTTTTAGAGAGGATAATCAAGCAAGTCAAACACAGTCATAAAACTATGGTCAACATTTCATCAAAAAAATACACACACACACACACACACACACACACACACACACACACAGATATACTGTTTTGTAAGATAGTAGACTATGACATCCCAAAGAAATTAAAATTGGTTTCAACTCAAGTTACTGTCTCTGTCAAACTGTGCATAGTTCTACTGCCAAAAAGCTAAACTTGAGAAGACAGTAAGAAAGCAGCAATTTAGTATTAGGACTGTATGTCTGGGGAAGGCTGTTCAGTAGACAAAGCTTCTGCTCCCCCGTGAAGCCTTCCCCAACTACTCTAATCCCATGCTGATTCTGTCCTTCTGGAAACTCTAATTTCATTTATAGTTAATGCCAACATCTGTACTTAACTTTTCTGTTTTAAGGATTTAAGTCCTGTTTTCCCAACATGACGGAAACCCTCTTGGAAAATACACCTTGCAATTTACATTTTTCTGTATCCCTTAGTGTTTTACATACACAGATGAGTTATTCCTTCAAAACCTCTTCCTGGAAAGCGAAATTATAAAAGGCCTACGCTTACTTTGACTGTGCAGAGAAGTTAGCAGCAGCAAAAACAGCAGCTTCAACTTCTACGTTATCATGTGAATCCAGACTCTGACGAATACTATGATGAGCATTCTTCCTCTCAGGAATTATTGATGCCAGACTTCCCAACATCCTGCACAAACAGAGAAACCCAAGAAGAATGGAAATACAATAAGCTCAAGGTCAGAAAAGGAAGAAACAGGCAAAGCTAAATTACCAAAACTAAAGTTTACAGGTCATTCCATAAATCTCAGGTTAATAAAGTATCAATTTTAGAAATCAAGCAGTGACTCAAATTCTAAACACTTTTCCATACTTCAATATGTCAGAAAAACTAACATGGCTTATTTAACACAAGTAAAACTTTTAAGAATCACCTTGAAGTACATGCTGAGTACCAAAGACAGCCCAGAAAAAGAAACTTTTAAATTATTAAAGCATCAAAATATCAATTTTCCAATGTTGTATAAAGAAGTCCATTTTAGCAAAGCATTAAGAGTTCAATACTTTTGTTATTCAGCAGATCCGCAAAGTAAAAAGTAAGACTTCCCAGTCTTTTTTTCAACATCAGTGATTACTTGTATCATGATTTTCAAATCTCTCCTCAATATCAAGAGAAGAGAGGAGAATGCTCCCTGGGGCTCATATCAGAATTGAGGAAGGAAGAGTTTAGGAAAGTGAGTTTCAAACAATCCAAAAATTATGCATATAATTTCATAGATGACAGACCTAAAATGAGGATATTGGTTCAAGCTGGATATAAGGCTTACAAAATGAAATTCTAACAAAACTTAAAAAAAAATTTTTTTAATGCCAAGAAAGAAAAGAAAAGGTTGAAGAAACTAATATGGTTATATCTGGCATTCTCCAAGGAGTCCAAATATAAATTATCATATACAAAAACAAGCACATAACCAAGGATGAATACAGAAAACTGACATGAAACAGTAGAACAAGGTCAGGAAGGTAAAAGTTCAAAATAAGCTGAGGCTAAGCCACATTCACCTTAGAGTTATCAGATCAGAACATCCACCCACGAAGAGAAATATTTCAAACGTAAGTTACCAAAACAGTATCATAGATGGTTAGCTGCAAGGCATTTACAGATTAGGATGGTTACCATATTTTCTCAGTGACTGTTAGTAGAAAAAATAAAAATAAATTCTTAATATTCAAAATGATAAAAGTAAATAGATTGCCTTTTGGGGATATATAATCACAACTCAAACAATCTTGTGGTGACTCATTAGCATAACAGAGTATACCGGAGTGTGATGGCTCTTGCTACAGGATCATTACTATGAATCACAGAGAAAATCCTCTTCACAAATTCATCCACATTTAGAATCTTCTCCAAATGCTTCTCACTTTGTTGAGTAACTTTAAGAACACATAGCCTCAGGAAATTGTTTCTATGAAAAACCACAGATAAAATAAATTAGACCACTTTATAAAGTAATATTTAATTAGGAATCAAAGCAACACTAATGATATTAATAAATTTTAGCAACAGGCCAATGTTTTTCAATCTTAATATTCTCTGTCTTACCACTGAAAGAGTTAAAGTCTGTACAGTCATCCTGTGATATCCATGGTGGGGAGGGGGACTGGTTCCAGACTACCCCCTGCCATACCAAAACCCTTGGAGACTCGAATCCCTTATACAAAATGGCATAGTATTTGCACATCCTCCCACACACTTTTAAATCATCTCTAGATTATTTACAATACCTAATACAATATAAATGCTATATAAATCAATGTAAATACAATGTAAATAGTTGCCAATGTGTGGCAAACTCAAGTTTTGCTTTTTGGAACTTTCTGGAATTTTTTTTCCAAATATTTTTGACCCATGGTTGGTAGAACCCATGGATGCAGAATGTTTAGCTGCAGAGGGCCAACTGTACATGAGATGAGTACTAAGCATAAGCAGTTAGCAAAGCCTGCAGTCCTACTGCAAGGCACCAAAACAGTAGTAACAGAAAGAGAAGCCCTGGACCCCAAACTCAATCTCCTCAGTCATATTATAACCAAGGAGATGGTCATCTTCCTCTCAAGCTAATTCTACAACATCATTTCTCCAAGTCTGATTTGGTGTGTGTATAAGCACACGAATGCATGGAGAAGGGTGGAAAGAAGTGGCACAGGGAATGGCAGAGGGAAAAAAATAGGTGTATATTCAGTGCTTGCTTACATGTTTCAGGCACTTCACAGTGACCCATAATCTCATGTAACATGTCATTTCATGTTATAAAATAAACAGTTAAATCAGAAACTTCTCCAAACTATCTGCACAAAGCCACAGATATTTCTGAAATATACAATAATATATTAAGGTTGTCTTAATTTTGAATTATCCTGTCCCCCAAAGAAATAAGTACTCTCTGACTTATATCCTTCACTTTTGCTTAAAATGCCATTAAATTTCACACCAAAATTTGTTGCAAATTGCCATGTGCATCCATTAGAATGGTAATGAACCATGTGGAAGTCCTAAAAGCCAAAAAGAATACAGACCACAATATAAAATAAAGAAATATGAACAATGTGCTTTAGGACACCAAGGCCTTAAAAAGACTTACCCAACTCTGAAAACATCAGCTAACTTTAGGAAAGCAGAATTGATGAGAATGGGAAATGGATACTTCTGAAAGAGCCTGGGAAAGCGGACAACTGCTTCACACTGTTCACCAAGTTTGCCAGATCTTAGACCTATGAAGAGCATAAAAAGGGAAGAACAGTTTACAAATTTGTGGCTACGATAAGGCAAAAATAGCAAATATCAACACAGTATTACAGAGTAAAATTATTTACACAGTAAAGTAATAATCATTCTTAACAATTAAGTAAAGTACAATTGTAACTCATTAGCTTTTCAAAAATAAAAATGGCATATGAAATAGTAATTTGGTAAAGTGTCACTTTTAGATATAGAATAATGAAAAAGAAACTATTTTTTAAAAAAGATTGAGTTGATAAAATATTTGGGGCCATAAGTAAACCTCAACAAATTTAAAAGGACTGAAATCATACTATGTATGTTCTCTGACCATAATGGAATTAAATTAAAAATCAGTAAGAGAAAAATATTTAAAAATGCCCAAATATTTGGAAATTAAGCAACACACTTATAAATAACCAATAAGATGAATCACTGAAAGAAGTGAAAGGGTGAAAGAAGAAATCAGAAGGGAAATTTAAAAAAAGAAAAGAAAAAGAGAAACTCAATCCTTAATTTGCACCATATACAAAAATTAACTCAAAATGAATCATAGACCTAAATGTAAGAGCTAAAATTATAAATTATATAGAAGAAAATACAGAGGAAATCTTTATAAGCTTAGGTTAAGCAAAGAATTCTTAGATAAAAAAAAAAGTGGAGTTTTTAGATTAAAAACATCATAAAATTAAAAAGTGATAAGTTAAATTCTATCAAAATTAAAAACTTCTGCTCTTCGGCTTCCCTGGTGGCCCTAGTGGCACAGTGGTTAGGAACCCGCCTGCCAATGCAGGGGACACGGGTTCGAGCCCTGGTCCGGGAAGATCCCACATGCTGCGGAGCAACTAAGCCCGCGTGCCACAACTACTGAGCCTGAGCTCTAGAGCCCGCAAGCCACAACTACTGGGCCCGCGTGCCACAACTACTAAAGCCTGCGCACCTAGAGCCCATGCTCCACAACAAGAGAAGCCACCGCAATGAGAAGCCCGCACACCGCAATGAACAGTAGCCCCCACTTGCTGCAACTAGAGAAAGCCCGTGCGCAGCAACGAAGACCCAATGCAGCCAAAAATAAATAAATAAATAAATTTATTAAAACAAAAAACTTCTCTTCAAAATATACTGTTAAGAGAATAAAAAAACAAGCCACATACTGGAAGAAAGTATTTATAGAACATGTATCTGATAAAGGACTTTATCCATAGTTCTTATATCTCACGGTTTTTTTTTTTTTTTTTTTGCAGTATGCGGCCTCTCACTGTTGTGGCCTCTCCCATTGCAGAGCACAGGCTCCGGACGCGTAGGCTCAGAGGCCATGGCTCACGGGCCCAGCTGGTCCGCAGCACGTGGGATCTTCCCGGACCAGGGCATGAACCTGTGTCCCCTGCATCGGCAGGCAGACTCTCAAGCACTGCGCCACCAGGGAAGCCCAGTTCTTATATCTCAATAAAAAGAAAACTTAATTTTTTTTAATGGGCAAGATTTGAAGAGAAATTTCACTAAAGGGGAAATAAGGATGGCAAACATAAGCACATGAACAGATGCTTATCATTGTTAGTCATCCATGAAATGTAAATTAAAAACCACAGTAAGACACCACTACACATCCATTAGAATGGCAAAGAAGACCGACAATACCAAGTGCTAAGAGGATATGGAGCAACTAAAACTCTCATACATTTTTGGTGGAAATGCAAAACTATACAGTTCTTTGGAAAACAGTTTGGTCATTTCTTACCAAGGTAAATATACACTTATTATACACTCAGCAATCTTACTTCCAAATATTTACCTAAGTGAATTGAAAACATCTGTCCATACAAAGATCTGTATGCAAAGGTTCACAGCAGCTTAATGCGTAATAGCCCCAAACTGGAAACAACCCAACCCAGTCTATCAACTGGTGAATGAATAAACAAACTGTGGTCCATACAATGGACTCATACTCAGCAATAAAAAGAAACCAATTACTGATACAACAACATGGGTGGATCTCAAAATCATTATGCTAAGTGCAAGAAGTCAGTCCCAAAAGACTACTGTATATGACATTCTGGAAAAGGCAAAACTATGGGAATAGAAAGCAGAAAGTGGTTGCCAGAAGCTAAAGAAAGAGAACTGACCACAAAGGGGCACAGGGCAAGTTCTGGGGGTGAAAGAATTGTTCTAGGTAGTGGTTTCATGACTGCATACATTTGGTGGATTTTATTATATACAAATTATACCTCAATGAAATCTGATTTTTTTTTTCCCCACACCTCACACAGCTTGTGCAATCTTATTTCCCCAAACAGGGGTTGAACCTGGGCCCTCAGCAGTGAAAGCGCCGGGTCCTAACCACTGGACCGTCAGGGAATTCCCTCAATGAATCTGATTTTTTTAAAACTCCAACAAATAAAAGGAGTTAATATTCAATCCTTAAAAAAATTCATTAAGAATGAGTATCTTGATATGGAATTAACAGTATCACCTTCAAATATTTTTCTTTTAGTATTTTGCCATTTACAAAATGCTGATTATATCTGCACAAGAGTAAGTGCCCTAGAACATCTCTGTTCAGTAAAGTTTGTTCACTGTTAAAAAATGACAAAGGAAATGTTTGTCTGAGGTGTAAAACAAGGAATGTCACTTGCCATTCAGTTCTACAAAGATTAAGTCGCTGACCTACAGCACACCTGAAAGGAATTTAGGACAAAGAACAAGATGAGGCACTCTGCGCTTTAGGGAAAACAGGCAAAACAGGCCCTTAGATAGTTATATTTCAGGAAAAAAAAAATTTTATGAACCCAGATTCTCGCATCTTCCCACACTTAGAAAAGCACTAAAATCATTAACTGAGATATCTGTTCCTTGTGACTAGCAGTAACCTTCTACCGAGACATATGTTGGATTGCACATACTCCTTAGACAAAATCACATGTATACTGACCTCTCCCTCTGCCTCTTCAGAGCAGTTCCTCAGAGCTATCTGGAAGGCTGTCGCCAAGGCTATAGTCCTCAGTAAGACACTGAATAAAACTCAAATCACAGCTCTTATATTGTGTGGTTTTCCCCCAGTTGACAGAGGGCTCTTTACTGGTTGCTACTTTGTTCCAATACATAAGACAACCACAAAGTAAATCTGCACATGCAATTTCTACAACTTCCTAATGAGTTAAGTTCTATAGGTACACTCATGTTAGTTATTTGGTACTTGGAAAATATTTCCTCATAGGAAAAAATATAGCACTATCAGTACTCATAGTACTCCATAATCTAATAACCACTTACAATAAAAGTTCCTCTGGGAAAATTAATTCAAAATTAACTCTAACTGAGATATTTAGAACATACCCCTTCTTTGTCTGCTCCCTTCTCCCTACACCCCTCACCCACCAACTTCCATACACACAAGAACTGCCACTAGAAGATCTAGGAGTCTTCTTCCCACTAAATGCACAGTACCAACAGAGACACTGTAGGTTACTGGCAATGGCTCCTGTATCCTTGAAAAAGGGGTCAAGGGACACACAGATAGGGCACTGAAGGACACAAGGGAAGGGGAGAAAAAGAAAGGCAAGTGTGAGGATGGAGGTGTGAGAACAGAGAAGGAAGAGATGTGTGCTTATGTACGTGTGCTGGGGGAAGGGAATGCTGGGAGAACCCACAGTAATTGGACTTGTTTCCTTCTCTTCTCTCTCTCAAGAGTTGAGTGATACAAAGGATAGTAAAGTTCTGTTTGTAATAAATTAACCTTGGTTGGAATGAAAAAGGTAAAGTAGGAAGTGGTCTACATACAGGGAGTCTCCTCAACAGAATATGATCCACTTTACCTTCCCTTTAAAAACGGAACCAAAGACCAAATCATTTACTTAAACATGCTGATTTAAAATGTACCAAAGATAATTTTGCATCTGGTCAAAGAAAGGTTTTGATTTCTCTAGTGTGGTCAAATTTTATTTCTTTAAGATAAAGTAGACCCTCATTCCCATAATAGACCCATCAGGGTACATGAGCTAAAGAATAGTAAATGTCTCGCTTATTTTCTGATATGAGTTTTATGAGAGAGGAAATGAGAAGCTAGGCTGGCTCAGAAGGTCAGAAGCTAGGGTACAAGAGAAGAGAGAAGTGCATTAAGGCCTGCAGTGCAGCAACAATCCTAGGCTGGGGCAGTATGGTACCCAGCTTGCTTGCTCTAGGCCAATTCCAACTCCAGTATAAGCCAAGCACCTGAAAATAGCAGCTCAGCACAAGCAGATCTTATTCTTAGAGGGGTTTAAGAGGTTATTCACTGTACTTCTGTTGCTAGCTACAACAAATCTGAGGAAAAATACCCTGATCAGAAGACCAATGATCATAAGAATGCCACCGTAAGACCCACTGTGGAAGGATGTGATTGCTGTTTCTACATTTTACTTTTTATTCTCCCACCAAAGCAACAGAGATCTCTTCCTTTTCAGTGCCTGGAGTTAAACAGTGCTCAACTTAGTTGCAACATGCAGGTAGACTAGGAAGAACTAAAATAAGTTGTCCATAAATTGCTTATTCAGTCAAAATCCATTTGGCAGCAATGAAATTCATTATTCTAAACGTATTTCTCATTTAAAATGTGCAGAACATTTTGCTACGCTAGTGGTTTATCAGGTCTGATTCTGCATCAGAAACATTTGTGAAATTTTTCAAAAATGTCTATGCTAGGGTTCCTCTCCAACCTACCAAATCTCTACAGTGGGGGCCCACGCATCTAGTTAGCTGTTTTGTGAAGGTAGGCGAGTAGATCCTCAAGCTATCCTCTGCCACTTAATCTTATTTGACTGAAAACTAGTAGGCTGCTGAATCTGGCCCTAAGAGTAACTTTATGATACAATGTTTTCAAAGGTTTTGAATTCATTGTCAAATATTAAAAATGAAATGAGATTCCACATAAAACCCAGGATTTCTGGGGTTTGGGGTTTTTTTTTGAAAATTTAAAGACCTGAAATGTTACTAAAGAAGGTGGGAGAATCCTGACTAAAGAAAGAAACATTGTAGTATTGCGGGTCTGTGTTGAAGGCCAGTTTGGGTTTGTGTCATTTCTGATAAAAGCCACATACCAAGTTGTATGACTTTCTCCAGCAATTTTTGGCTGCCTTTGGGCACACATGACTAAAATAGAACCTTGGATGAGAATTTAAAGTACTGGTAAGAAACTTAATGAAATTAATGAAATGAGGGACCATAAAATCTAAGCTGGATAAAGAAGTAAAAACACAAAGGGATTGAGAGGTAAGGGAAGTAGAGAGGTAAGTATACTGAGGTCTGAATGAAATAAAGAATGTTAAAGTAGCAGTTAATCATCATGATGATGATGATGCATATTAAGTGCTTATTCTGTGCCAGATACTCTAGTAAGCATTTTACATGTATTAAGCTCTCACTATACTCACAGAAGTTAGGTATTATTCAATAATTCCCATTTTAAACATGAGGACACAGGTAAAGAATAGTTAAGCGACTTGCCTAAGAAACAACAGCTAATAAATGGCAGAGATGGAATTCAAATCCTGGCAATCTGGTCCTAATTATTATGCTAAAATGCATTTCTAGCAAGCAACTAGAGGACAGAGGTTAAGATTAAAGAAGAGATACCTGAATGGGATTTCAGAGTGGTATAATTCTGAGGGATGAAAAATTCCAAGGAATTGAAGAGAAATAACATAAATTATGGTAAACTTGGGATTTGTGATACATCAATCAAGTTTTCAAAACAGCATACATTGCTAGGTAGCATGTATCAGTCAGAGTTCTTAGCTGCAAGCAACAGAAGCTAACTCTGATGATTAGGCAGGAAATGAGTTTTTATTGAGTGTTTATTAAAGTAATAAGAAGTTTCAAGGCAAAACTCCTAAGAACACCTAACTCCACACTGCCAAGCTGATTAGATGAGGTAAACTATTGTTGCTGGGAAGCACCAGATGCTAGAATTAGCTCTCCTATCATCTAGGAATGTAGTAGCCATTGCTGCTACTACTGTACACTATGGACACTGCAGCCACTGCTGCTGCCAAGGAAACTGCAAATACTCTTCAACTCTGCCTTCTTGCATCTCTAAACTAAATCACAGAGCCTGGAGGAGATTTGTCTGATTGGCAGAGCCTAGTTCACATCCTGTGCTTTTTTTTTTGGCCGCACCGCTTGTGGGGATCTTAGTTCCCCAACCAAGGATTGAACCTGGGCCCTTGGCAGTGAGGGCGTGGAGTCCTAACCACTGGACTGCCAGGGAATTCTCTCCTGCACTCTTAAAAGGGAAACTAGGAAAGTGAGCTTTTGCTTCCACCTTGATGAGACAGTGCTTGTGGTGTGGGCCATTCCTCAAGCATAGAATGTTCACAAGATGCTAAGTGACCACCAATATGACTAATATCCACTACAAAGAACACTGCTAATACACACTACTACACAAGCACATTTTAGGAGAATTTGTTGTATACATTTGCTTTAGCTAAAGGGTGAGAATGATTCAAAATGGAACCCTAATACCCTAACATCTTAAACCATAACATCTTAAAGTCTATTCATTAAAAATGAGGTGGGGAGGGGAGAAATACAAACGCAAGTATGCACCACACATTATACCAAGGCAATCTCACAACAGCTTAGTAAACTGATCATGGTAACATCTCAGTAAATTATATTTAAAAAGCAAGAATAAAAACAACTAATAGGATAGTCAATTCAACTGATGATGCAATAATAATAAAGCATCCTTCCCCCAAACTTTAGAATCTGTAAATATACATGGTGAGAAAGTATGCAATATTGTGCAATATGCACAAATACTGATTTAGAATCATAAACAAATTATTTTTATGAATACCAACTTTTAGGAATATTTAATAACTTACTTTGTAAGTTACAAGATAATAGCTTTTAGCCATATGTAAAAATGAGTCTATGGATTTCAGTAAGAACTAAAGAAGGGCCTTGGATTTTTGGATCAGTTCATAGTCCATCAAAGGATCACCAGCCAGGCTTTAAGAATCAGTCCTTTATAATGCTGGTTTTTATGTGGCTTTGAGTTAAGAGTCTGACCTTAATTCTACATGATCTTACAGGTCCACTTCTCAATACTGCCACACTAAGTTTGGTCTGGTAGTACAGATTCTCAAGAGAAAGAATTTGATTGACTCAGTGTGGGTCACATGTCCACTTCTGAATCACTTATGGCCTGGAATTAGTCACTTGGTACAAACTTGGCTGCAGAGACCTCCCTCTTTAGTAGGGGATATGGGGATACTCACAGGGCCTCATATTTGTTTATCACAATACCAACTACATCTGTACCAATATGGACAGAGTAAAAGCAACCTGTGGTCTCTTCCAGAGTCTGAGAATTCAGATGTTTTGGAACATAGGTGAAGTGACAGCATCTAAGGGAAAACAGACAGTTGTCCTGATTTACATCAATTTCCTATTTCATAATTAACTTTTTCATTGAACATACCATCAAGTTTTCCATGCAACATTAAGTTCACCAACACCTCAGACAGCAACTCCACCCCCTACATTTCCTTCCTTCTCATTGCCCAGGTGCAAGAAAGGGAAACCACTCTCTTCCCCATTGCTCTTGGATCTCATCCCCCCCACAAGGCCAACCTTACAGAAAGCAGATAGGCTGAGTGACGTCATTTAAGGTAGACTCTCCTTTTCACCCAGGGTGAAGGAGATCTTGCATAAGTTTTCCTAAATCACTGGGACAACTTCCCATCAGCTGACTTAAAAATCTTTAGACTGACAGTGTAGAAGTTACATTAGTGAAAGTTACACTGAGTAAATTATGGGAGATATGTCCTTTGTAATGCCTATATTATAGAAATGATTGATTATGAAATGTGTCATATATACATAAGTTATACTTGATTTGACACTTTGCTGTCTTCACAGCTCAGGCAGCATGGTTATCAGCTTAAAACTTTTAAAAAGGGAAGGCAAAATGACCTCTACATAGGAGCTAAAGTGACCTTCAAAAATGTAAACCAATCCATGTCAGTCCTCTGCTTAAAAACTTTCAATGTTTTCCCAATGCACTTTGCATAAATCCAAACTTCTTGTCCTAACAAAGCCATATTTGATCTAGCCCTGTCTGCCTCATGTGAGCTTCTTAAAGCTGTTTTGTTCACTAATATAGCCCCAAGTCTGAGTGCCTAACACAGTGTAGATGATCAGTAAATATTTGTTGAATGACTTAATGGCTATTATATAAAGGATGATTTTTCTGTGTTACTAACTACATCCTAAATGAACAGAGTTAAGTCAGCTTTAAAAGAGCATCCATGGACTTCCCTGGTGGCGCAGTGGTTGAGAATCCGCCTGCCAATGCAGGGGACACGGGTTCGTGCCCCGGTCTGGGAAGATCCCACATGCCACGGAGCGGCTGGGCCCACGAGCCATGGCCGCGGAGGCTGCGCGTCCAGAGCCTGTGCTCCGCAATGGGAGAGGCCACAACAGTGAGAGGACCGTGTACCGCAAAAAAAAAAAAAAAAAAGACCGTCCATTTATTCCTAGACAGATCAGAAACAAGTTGCTTACTGCCATGCTTGCTCAAAACGCTCGGAACAAAGTGCAATGGTTATAAACATATAACAGGTTATAAATGGCACCATTTCCCAAGTGTATTTCTTGACACTAGTGCTACAGATACTTCTTTATAATGTAGTTCAAGTATCACATCTGTATATCTAACTGCCTACCCAACATCTCCAGCTGGATGTCTAAGAGACATCTCAAATTTAACAGTCTCAGACTGATCTGATTTTCATCCACTCAGTAGCTGGCAATACATACTTCCAGGAGCTCAGACCAAAAACCTCTGCGTTTCTCCTGACTACTTAACTCTCACATTCTCATCCAATTCATTAGCTACTCTTGTTGGCTATACCTTCAAAATATATACAGAATCTCAGCACTTCACACAGCCTCACTGTAACCACCCTGGCCCAAGCCACTTTTCCCTGGATTGCTATTGATACAATTGCCTCCTCACTACAGTAGTCCCTCAGTATCTGTGGAGCATCCATGCATTCAAGTAACCCCACATCAAATTCTACCTGTAAAATACTCACCCAAGGCACTGCTGGGAGGATTTAACACCATCACTTAGTATCTAGGACAGACACCTGGTTTACACTCAATAGCCACCTATATATTTCTTACAGATCTGAAATATTCCTATTTCAATTTTTAAGAAGGAAAAATTGTGTTATATTTTTTCTTACTACAACTTCAAGTTTTTCGGAATTAAACAATTCTAGATTTCTCATTTCTTCAAAGTCCCATCCCAATTCTGTTCCACACCACTGCTCTACTGTCATTATGGGATGAGTCCACCTGGACCACAGTGGTAGAAAATGTCTTTACAGAATTAGTAGGAATATTAGATATCCAGACCTGCAACTCTTAAGAAGGTAATAAGGAAGGAAATATCAGAATGGGGAGGGAAAGATTATGTAGTGTATAAAAAACACATTTAGGGGCTTCCCTGGTGGCGCAGTGGTTGAGAATCTGCCTGCTAATGCAGGGGACATGGGTTCGAACCCTGGTCTGGGAAGATCTCACATGCCGCGGAGCAACTAGGCCCGTGAGCCACAACTACTGAGCCTGTGCGTCTGGAGCCTGTGCTATGCAACAAGAGAGGCCGCGATAGTGAGAGGCCCGCGCACCGCAATGAAGAGTGGCCCCTGCTTGCCACAACTAGAGAAAGCCCTCGCACAGAAACGAAGACCCAACACAGCCAAAAAGTAAATTAATTAATTAATTTTTTTTAAAAAAGAAAGAATGCACAGGGAACTATACTCAATACTTTATAATAACCCATAAAGGAAAAGAATCCGAAAACGAATAGATAACATGTATATGTATAACTGAATCACTTTACTGTACACCTGAAACTAACACAACATTGTAAATCAACTATACTTCAACTACAAAAAATAAATTAAAAAAATAAAATTTATAAAAAAAACCACATTTAATGTTATGACTTTATATTTTAGAGGGAAAAGTCCTCATAGATTTGTTGAGAAATCAAAGCTCAACATCATTTTCTTGGCTGATGGACCTGCACTAAGGATACTGTGACTCAACCAAAGGAATATCTCATTGGAGTGCTGTGGCATTTTTATGTTGATCAAAAGGAGTTAAAAGCTTTTTTAAAAAGTCTGAGAAACTCTTATCTAGACGAACCTGCTGTAAATGTTTACAGGTTAAAAAACAAACAAAATAAAGAGTCCCCAAAAAGTATAAGATAGTGTCCAAGTCGGAGAGCTGGGAAGTGGCTCAAAGTGGACTTTAAGAAAAATCCTTCTAACCTCTAGTTCTTAATATATTACACACTGGTTGTAGTTAATTAAAAATTAACTGCATACCAGGTGACAAAATGGTTCCCCCATTCAATAAAAATCATTTAAGTACACTGAAAACAAAGGTTTCATTTTAATACTTCAGTTCTTTACCGACAAGTATCTGCCCATGCCTCCCATATCCATATCTAAGAAAGAAGGCAAATCTCTTTTGCATTTAATAAAGACTTCTTTTGCATACCATTATATCACAATATTTACAACAATCTTGCTAGCTCAATGGTACTTTACCCACTTTGCACAGAAAAAAAACAAGGTTAGGTTAACTTAGGTGACCTGTCCAGGATCATAAAATGAACGATATAAGAATTCAACTCAGTCTATCCAAAGCTCCTACTACTACACCAAGCTCCCACCACTCCAACTCCCGTAAGGAAATAGAACTCGTGGAATCCGTCTGCAGAGAATGAGCAGGGGCTCTGATTTTCGGATGGTCTTGGCCCTATTTTTAACCTGCCTAATAACCGGCAGGTAAGAATTACAGAAATTAAATGAATCGTTATAAGTCGGTGCAAGATTATTATTCAGCACCCTTGGTGAAGACCTGGTCTCAACTGAACATACTGAAAAATAATTTCACAATTTCAATTTATCGTTTTTAGAAACTGCTTGGAAAATCGGGAGACTGTGCCCTCAAGTGGTCAAAACGGCCCCCACTCGCTACTTTTTCACCTGTACGAGGCCAACCTAACAACGCTGCAATTTCCCGGCAATCTCGCAAAGCGGCAAAAGCCCTGGACTCACCAAAAGCACTGGCGCCAGCGCCCGCCCCCGCCCAGGGAAGATAGGCGCATGCGCCTTCCCGGCTTCTCACGAGGCTACCACCGCCTGGGGGCGCCACTTCCCCCCACATGCGTTTCACCCGCTCAGCCCGCTCTTTCGAATACCTTTGTCTAATTCCATAAGGGCAGAGTTAGCATCCAGCTCCTGTTCGCCATAGCCGGCATCTGCCAGAAAAGACTTAGTTGAGTTTGACGCCATGACCCGAACAGTTACTCGACTAGCCTATTTAGAAAGATTGCAAACTCTTCCCCAGCACCGCCATCTTCTTCCACCACCTTCTCGCGGATTTTTCCTCCGCGCTCTGTCAAGCCGTGTTACGCATGCGCTCTGGTCTCCCCGCCGTTCGCCAGCGCCTCTGCGGCCCCCCGCGCAGGCGCTCAGGGAGCTCAGGAACTCCAGGTTCCCGCGGCTGGGAGAAAAGGAGGCGGGGATTCGAAGGGGGAAGTGACTCGGACGCGCCCGGACGCCGCGGCGGGAGCCAATCAGAGGGCGTGACGTCAGTTTGGCGGGGAGTTTGGTGGCCGGGGCTTACGGTGGCGGGAGTTGGAGGCAATAACTAGTCGTGTTCTAAGGGACGCCACATAAGATTTCTGCTGAATCTGGGGGCATTTCCACGGCTTTTCTCTCAGTTGAAAGTTTTCCTCCGGCCCAGATGCTCTTCAATTCGGTACTCCGCCAGCCCCAGTTTGGCGTCCCGAGAAATGGTGAGTAACGGCCCTAACCGCTGCCTGTTGCCGGCGGGATTCACCTCCCCCCGAACAACACCTCGGACCAACGCCGACTCCAGTTCTGTTTCCCAGCCGCCGAGTTCTCCCACAGGCAGAGCGAGTTCGTGTTAGCGAAGAGTACTGAAGAAAGCTGCACTTTCGTGCTCTCGAGACACTTTTAGTCGTAATCGGGATTTTTTCAATTGTAGTGTAGGCTGACGGAGGGAGGGACGCTGAGTTAACTGGCCTCCATTACGGCTATGTCTGTTTTGCACATTAACTGGAAAACGCGTTCATGGGAGTATGTGTGGTTTTCTCAACAGCTATGTGAGATCGTCAAGACTCGTATTCATTGATTAATTCATTCATTTGTTGTGGAACCTTAGTGAGCCCTACTCTGCTATATATAACAGTGACTATGACCCGCTGTTAAGGAACTCAGTCAAGCAGAGAAGACAGAACATCTGCTTCTAGCATGGTCAGAATTTTTTCCTCCTGATTAATACATGAGCATAAAAACTCGTAGTTATAGAGCGAAAAATGCCCATAAGTACATTTCCCAGAAATGACCATTACTAATAGACTGAAGTATTTTATTCCAAATGTTCTTCAATGCCAGAGGTAATAAGTATTGTTATTTACAGAGATGGGATAAAAATGTTTTGTTTCTTTAACGGTAAAACTAGGAAATACTTCCATGTTAGTGTATAGATAACTGATTTATTCTCTCCAGTTCTTGAAGTTCCTTACGTTAAAACATTGGCAATAAGAATTTTGAGCTTAGGTTTGGGTGTCATCAACCTGAAACTTTCTGGTGAGTTTCTGATAAGGGAATTATTACCCAGACTAAGCTTGGCTGCAGATGAAATCTCATTCATTTAAAGATGGACTAGGTCTTTCCGCTTGAAACCATGTGAAAAACAGAAAGAAAATAATGTGAGAAGTGAACTTTTTGTATTTAAGGCATAGGTCTAGGAGAAGGATATTGAGAAGGAGACTGGAGAGTAGTTCCTCCACTTCCTGCCTCCAATCTAAAACCCTACCATCCTTACCTCTTTAAATTATACTCTAAATGCTTCTCTTTCTGTCTCTCCTGTGACCTTGCTTAAGATACTTCTCTGTCTTCTGTCATGAGTGTCAGTACAGCATAGTAGTTATGATCTCTGTCTTTGGAGTTAAACTTGCTGAGGTTTAATTCCACCTCCACTCCTTACTTAATCTGTGTGACTTGGAGCAAGCTGTGAAGCCTTTATTTTGTAACAGATTTTCTCCTAATTCTACATTCTGTCTACTTCCCTTTTCCCTCTAATTCACAAATACTTATCAGGGAGGGGTAAATTTTCCCCTCTACCCCTCTTGAGTATTTATGGCTGGACTAATAAAATTGACACAAGGCAGATTAGCAAGAGAAAAACAAATTTTAATTCATGTACATGGAGGTATCATAGAAATGGGACTAAGAAATGGCCAAAGCAAGGCAGCTTTTATACTCTTCAGACAAAAAAAAAACAAACAATAAATTTGTGAGGAATTGACAGGACAAAGAAACTTAGGTTTGGGATGCTTACTAAGTGAAGAATCTAAACAGAGTTTGGGCTTCAGGTAGTAAAATAAAAGAAGTAACAAGGCTTGTTTACACACGCTTCTTGGCTCTGAATTCCCTATCTCTGACGTATTAGGGGGTCCTTCTACCTCCAGTTGCAAGGAGTGCACCTTTCATAAGAGATTTATTTCCTGCTTTTCAGGGAGACAGGGAGGTCAGAGTTTCCTTCTTGCATCAGCTGCTTCTCAAGCAGCTTCAATGCAAAATAATCAATATGCCATTGTGGCATGTTTTGAGACAGCCCACCCTGAGCCCCCAAGTACTCATGCGTTGTTATGTGTTAGGCACTGAAATTCATTCATTGTTATATATAATGCACTGAACTTTATAGGACCATCTTCTTCTTTCCCCTTCCATGAGGGTGTTCCATCCTAGGCCCCTCGTCTATTTCTACCTACTCCCATGGGTGATCATAGCTGTAACCAGGGTTTCTTCTATTACTACCTGCAACCTTCCATTCCCTATACTTTACATCCATTCCTGTAAGAGTTGTATCATCCAGATGGTCAGTCCTGTAAGCATCTCAAACTCAAATACCCAAAACCGAACTCACTTTTTCCCCAAACCTGCTATATTACCTATTTTAGGAAATGCTCTCATTATTTTAAACTGGTCTTCACAGTCAGAAACCTGAGAGTCAATCAGAATTCCTCCATTTTCCTCAAGATACGCATTCAGAGAAGTCCCCTTAAAATCTCTAATCCTTCCTCCTCGGTATCCCCACTGATTTTGCCTCTTCACCATATCTTGGATCTGTCCTTTGCTTACCATTCTATTTCCCTAGGTTGGGCCATAATATGTTCTTGTCTGAAATGTAACAAGTCTCCCAAATGTCCTCTTAGTTTCCCTCTTTCCAGTTTATCCTCCACATTGCTGCCAATGATCTTTCTGAAATGGAAACTGATTACTCTTCTGTGTATTTTTAAATTGGTATCTGAAAGTTTTTATCATAAGTTTAAACAGATGCAAAGGATGTCATCTCTGGCCATATTGTGAGTGATGACCTTTTTAAATAAAAATGCTACTGCTACATCAGTCTTTAAAATGTATCTAATAGACTGTAAATACTGTAGTGATTTAATAATCACATCAATCATTTTTGAAAAGTATGAACTAATTCTAACTGCTAGATATTCTACATAGTTGTTTTTTCCCCTTGAGCTTATTACCACTTTATTTCTCCCACAGAATTTATCCTAATGTGATTTGATTTTAAGCTTGAAAAGTCATTTTATTGATCATGCTATCTTATTTCTCTGTGTAAAAAAAATATGTTTAAATTGATGTTTTCTGTGATCATAAAGCTCTAAGTGTTAAAAGTTTCTTCTGGGTTGACTTATCATTACTATTTTTAGTAGTATGTCGTTGATCAAAACAATATGGATTACTAATTTCAATAAATAAGCAAGATAAAAATTTATTGAAAGTCTATGTTTTAAAGAGATGGATTTGGGTGTTTATGATGCCTTTATTAAAGGAGTTATCCAATTGTCTCTTAATGGAGTCCCAGGAGTTTTTGTACCTTGAGTCAACGCAAGGTATAAGATTGGGTCATGGAAATGCCTTTCTTTTGAAAAGTGGAAGAAAGGTAGTGATGAAGAGGGGGAAAACCTTGGACCTCGACATTGTAGACAGGTCAGTTTTAGAAATTCATATATATATGGAAGTTGAGTATCTGGAAATTAGTTCTCCGACAGCTCTCATTCTCCTTGAAAAATCTGCATGCAACCCCAGGGGCTTAAGTTGTGCGTTGAAGAAATAATAGGCTTTTCCAAATGAGTGTTGTGAGGGAAACCATTACAAGCTCATGTTGGAAACAGAATAGAACAATAAGGATCCAAAAGTAGCTTACGGGGCTTGTCCATGAAGTGTGTGTTGTCACAATCGCAGAGGTGGAGGGGTAAATAGGGACCAGTTACTAAGCCATGTTAGGCCATTTGTTGGTGTTTGGATATAGTTTGTAGGCAATGAGACAGAGTTGAGGGGTCACTGTTTAATTGTAAAGAATTTAGGTCTCCAGAGCTTATCATCTTCAGTTCCACTTAAACTGTTCAAGATTCCTTTTGAATTCATGAGTTGTGATTAGTTTTTGGTTTTGTTTTTTTTAATCCCAAACTACAAGTGTATGTTTATATAACTTTAGAACAGAGGCTTTTGTTTTAAAATTCATTCCGTAGATGGATATTTGTGAACTTCACCACATAACTAATTATTGTATTTATATTCTTCTTTTAGTGGTCTTTAATGGCTTGTTTACAATCGTATCTAGCCTTAAGGTAGTACCCCCAGGAATAATTACTAAATCTGGACCGAATTTATTTGCCTCGTTTGCATTTCTTCAGGTTATTTCTATGAACATGCAAAACCAGATTTGTCTGAGGTTATATCAGGCTAAGATGTCTTCTTCAAATGGTATTTTTTTAATGAAAAGTGAGAATTGAAAGTACCCTAAAGTATGAGAGTGTTTGTTAATTATTTAGACAGCTCTCTAGATTGTAACTTCATTGTTTCCTCCCATGCTTACTAAACATTTGGTTCTCAGTAACTATATATTGAAAGAATGTTTCTTTTATATATTTAAAATATGTTGACCCACATATCAAAATGATAAAACAAATCAAGATAGTTTACTATTTTAGGACCATAGTACACATCAGCTTTCTGACCCAAGCAGAATAAACTTTCCCTCCACCCTGAATTTCTTCCTCTCTCGTATACTAGGGGCTACAGTAGGCACATTGACATACCTTATTTCCTTTAACTCTCTGACCATTGGCTTATGTGTGATGTTGCTAGTAACTTGAGTTTGCAGTAATGATTTAGAAACTCTGAAAACATAAAATTTTAATTGACGAGAATGGCAGTTTTAATGGTTGTGGTAGTCTTTGTGGTTGTGTTTTGTGATTGTCTCCGAAGGGTGGGGGAAGGGGTAAGATCTTCTCTAATGTGCAAAGGCCACTTGTTTCTTGCAGTCTTAAATGTATTAGCAAGAGTCTCCATTTAAGATGATAAGCCCAAAGCTGTATCTCACCAGAAGCTGAGAGTGCTCTTTCATTTTTTCCTTAGGACCCCTTAGGAAAATACCTGAAACTGTGTTCTAGAGGGCCATGGATAATGAGTGGATCTATACTTAAGTATATAAAGCTTTTAGAAATGAATTTGTAACCTCTGCATTTGTTAAAAGTACTGAAATGTGATATATTGGAACTCTATAAGGAATTTTGTCTTACCTTAGGATGGTCTTCACAATACCCTCTACAGTCCCTTCTTACTGGTTATCAGTGCAACTATAATGATGAGCACACTTCTTATGGAGAAACAGGAGCCCCAGTTCCTCCTTTTGGATGCACCTTCTCTTCTGGTAAGGGAACTTCTGTATAAGCTAGGTTTGATCAGAAATGATCTATTTCACTCTAAAGAGGGAAAATATTTTGGGGTGTCTCCCTTTCAAGAAAAAGTAAATTAGATAGATGATAGGGTTTTTCTAATAACTGTTCTCCCCTGATTTATGAAATAGACTTTTCTTAATCTCTATGCATAATTACATATTTCTGCTAAGGGATAAGATTCTTATAGCACCATTTTTTGTTTGTTTGTTTTTATAACTGATATCCGGAAAGGGTTGCAAAGGTTCAGCCATCATGAAAACTTTTGCCCCTTTTGACCTGTTTGAATCTATCTCTTTCTACAATGCATTGGGGAACATATTAACAGAAATAGAGTACTTGTCCCTGTTGTTAAAAGTTTAAGAAAAGAAAAGTAAAAAATTGTGAAAAGGGAATATAAAATTAATAGGTTCAGCCTGCTGGTGGCTTGTATCGTATGCTTTTATTTGCCATGCCTATATCATATGCTTTTATTTGCTATTGGCCAGTACCACTTTTGTTTTGTTTAATTACCATGCTTGATTCAGCCCTTCTTTAAATAAGAGATTATCTGAGGACTCTCAACCACTGCGCCACCAGGGAAGCCCAAGGATTGGTGTTTTTGAGTCACTTACTTAATTAGGTATTATGGCAAATTTTCAGCCATCTTTTTTTTTTTTTTTTTTTTTTTGTGGTACGCGGGCCTCTCACTGTTGTGGCCTCTCCTGTTGCGGAGCACAGGCTCCAGACACGCAGACTCAGTGGCCATGGCTCACGGGCCTAGCGGCTCTGCGGCATGTGGGATCTTCCCGCACCGGGGCACGAACCCGTGTTCCTTGCATTGGCAGGCGGACTCTCAACCACTGCGCCACCAGGGAATCCCTCAGCCATCTTTAATTCAGAAAAACCTCTCTACCATAGCAGGTGCTATTTGGGTAGAATCATCTTACCTCTTTTCAAATAGATTGTAGTTATTCAGTTAATTTATATTTTGTTGTTTATATAGATTTAAACTCAGCTTTAAATTTTTTTGTGACTCTTTATATATTTTATTCTTTATTTCTTATTTAGCTCCCAATATGGAGCATATACTAGCAGTTGCCAATGAAGAAGGCTTCGTTAGGTTATATAACACAGAATCACAAACCAGTAGAAGGAAGTGCGTCAAAGGTAAGTTGGGGTCTAAAATATCTGTTTGAACATTTTTAATTCATAAAGCCTCAAGGAAGTTACTATTTGAATAAATTCTCAGTGATACTCACTTCTGATTAAGCCTGTTTAGGGGCCAGGCTGAAAGTAAATGGTGGACTGCCTTTCTGTCGATAACTGTTAACGGCAGCAAAGCCTTTACTGAAAGTTAAAAATACATTTTAGAATTAAAAACAGTTTTTCTTTTAAAAAATTAAAATTTGTTATATTATACTTAATGTGGGGAAATGTTGCTTTAAAATATTTATATTGAACAAACATCTTACATACATAAGGCAAAGTTCTACTGACCTTAGGAAGGTAATAATCTGGAACTAGTAAGTCAAGTGTTGAGATAACTAAAGTAAAACAAAGGCTATAGATGATGTAGAGGAAATATAAAGAAAACGCCACAGGTGTCACAAAGAGCTCTTACATATCAAAGAAGGTGAGGAAAATTTTTCATGAAGGATGGGACATTTGAGGCAGACTGTGGTATTTAGACCCGTGGAGGTGGAATAGGACACTCCAGGTGGAGGGAAAAGCATTAGTAAAGGCCTAGAGATAGGAAACCATAGGATATAATGAGCATATAGGGAGTGCTCCAGTTTAGTTGGAATAGGATATACAGAGAACAGTAAGAGATAGGGCCAAAGCAAGCAGAATTTTGAATGTCAAACCAAAGTATTTTAAACTCCATTCAGAGAGCATGATGAAGATTTTTGAGAATGTTTTATAAAGATTCCGTTTTAGAGCATATATACCCTCATGGAAAACAATCTGATATCAAATGGTAGTTTTATGGGGTAATGAAGGGAATGTGCTATGTGTGCAAGTCCACAAATTCTCTTTGGCCCATGGATCTTAGTGTGCTGACCACTGATCTTTTCACTACAGCTTTCAAGGCACTTCAACAGCTATTGGTATGGCTACCACAAGACATAGTTTAGACAGTTCACATTCACCATTTTCTTTGTTTAGAATGGATGGCTCACTGGAATGCTGTCTTTGACCTGGCCTGGGTCCCTGGTGAATTTAAGCTTGTAAGTGACTTTCATTTTATTGGGATCTGGGTAAACACTGGTAAAGGGTTGCTTTATTAAACTGTGAAACCTTATTTTTGAAAGGTTACAGCAGCAGGTGATCAAACAGCCAAATTTTGGGATGTAAAAGCTGGTGAGCTGATTGGAACATGCAAAGGTCATCAGTGCAGCCTCAAGTCAGTTGCCTTTTCTAAGTTTGAGAAAGGTAGGTATATGCTTACCCTCTTTCATCTCCTTAACCTCTTTCATGGTGAAGTAATAATAAGCTGTAATTGTTTCCACCCTTTCCCCTGTCAAAGTTGCTCCTTTACCTATGTAGATGTTTGAGATTCTTAATATGACTTGGAAACCTCAATGAAATTAAGTTGGATTTTAGTCCCATTCTAATGGATATTATCTCCAGCTTGTCTCTGAAAGTCAAGTGTCTTCAGATAATTTTTTTCTGTAATCTTGCAGATAAGGTAAAAATTCACAAATAGCCACAATCCCTCTGTTCAACTTTGAGTGGCCTTTGAGGTCACAGCCTGTACTGGACACTGATTAACTCCATCTGTAAAATAGTTACTTTAACTCTACTTGTAAAATTTAAATGGAGTATGAGGCTGGGTGGGAAACCTGATAAACTGGACATGATTCTTTACCTAAAAAATTTACCACATAATTACTTTAAATGGCCCAGTTCCCTGGTATGTTTTCAACTGTTATTTACTCACAATCTTTCTATATTTATTTAACTATTATAATGGAGAAGGAAGATTATAAGAAAGAGGGCTATAATACAGAACAGTACTATAGTAGCCGGGGAAAAACTTAGCAGGGGTATCTGAATGAGCTCTTCATTTCTGTGTTTTTTGTTTTCTTTTCTCCTTCCTCCATTTGTTTCTCACTAAATGAGTGAGACAACAAACGTTCATCTCAAAGAAGTGGCTGATCAATCTGATTTTAATCTCGGAATAATAGAAATAAACAGTATAGTTCCCTTTATCATTAAAAAATATTCTATTTTTAAAAGGAATGTTTTTGTTTATTCACCTGACCACTCAGGAGTACTAAACTGAGTTGTTGAGCTGGTTTGGACTTTAAAAAAAGGTCAGTTGATTGCTGTTGAGACTGGAACCTTGAAGAGGAAATACATGACATAGTTTTTATCTCTGCATAACTTTTCATTAACACATCTGTTGTATAAAGTTAAGTATGCTTGTGTTCTAGTTTACACTCCTGTGTCAGAGTTCATTGTAAGTTTATAAAAATAATTTAAAGTCATGAAAATGTACTTAAAGTAAATTTGTTTATTTAAAGGGTAATAGAAAAGGGAAACACCATATCTTTCGGTCCCTTTACTTAATTTTTAAAACTGTGCATTGAATCTATGCCAGTGTGGTCTAGTAGAAAAAGTGGTAACCTTTATCATGGCTCCCAGTAGTTCACAGGTGCCCTAGTGTGAATTAGTCTGGTTGGACACTGCCCCCAAGGCCTCATCGTTTGGTTGCTAAAACACAGATTTTAGGCTCTACCCCCTCAGCCAAGTGTTCTTGTGCAGGACATACTTTTACAGCCATATATAGAAGCCCTGTGTTTTGTTCTGCTTTCTGCCTTTAAATTCTTGGGCAAAGTCATTTTTATCTCCCAGGACCTTCATTTCCAAATTCACAAAAACATTGTAAGCATAAAAATGAAGTGAGGGGCTTCCCTGGTGGCGCAGTGGTTGAGAGTCCGCCTGCCTATGCAGGGGACGCGGGTTCGTGCCCCGGTCCGGGAGGATCCCACATGCCGCGGAGCGGCTGGGCCCGTGAGCCATGGCCGCTGAGCCTGCGCGTCCAGAGCCTGTGCTCCTCAATGGGAGAGGCCACAGCAGTGAGAGGCCCGCGTACAGAAAGAAAAAAAAAAAAATGAAGTGAGATGTGAATGTACACACACCAAAACAAACACACACAAAACTGAGGAGCATATAAATGCTTAGTGGGTTGGTTTTTTTGGGGTTTGGTTTTTGGGGGCGGTTTTTTGTACGTAACGTGGTAGGAAAGATCATGATCCAGTTCTTTCAGCCCTACATGGGCAGAATACAAATAATCCTAAAGGACATAGTTATACTAGTGGAATTTGCCTTCCCTAAATATCTACCACCTGAAAACATGGAAAATGTTTTCATCTCTAATTGTCAGTTGCTCACAGATGTGTGTTTTGTGTGATAAAATGGGTGTTAGAACTTCTAGTGAGTAATTAAAAATAATTATAAGTGTTTTTCTATTTCCCCTCCTACAAACTTATCTTCAAATTTGCACCTTCTTTCTCATTCTTCATTCTCCAGTTTAAGGCGAATCCTTCTTCCTAGAGCACTGGTTCTCAACCTTGACTCATTAGTCACCTAGGGAGGTGTTTTGTTTTATTTTGTTTTTATTGAAGTATAGTTGATTTACAACGTTGTGTTAATTTCTGCTGTATAGCAAAGTGACTCAGTTATACACATTGGGGAGGTTTTTTAAAATAAGTGTGAATCTCTAGGAGGTGGGCCAGGCGTCTATTTTGTTAAAATTCCTCAAGGGATTCCAGTGTGCAGCTAAGGTTAAGAAACATTCTTGATCCTCCCCAAGACCTTATGCTATCACTTACATCCCCACAGCTCCTCTGTCTTCAAGCTTTCCTTCTCTTGGCTCTTTCTCCATAGGAAAAACTCAAGCATATCTGTGGCCTGTCCAGAAAGAAACATCTTAACCTTGTATTCTCCTTCAGCTATCGTCCTTTCTTTTTTTTTTTTTTTTTTTTTTTGTGGTACGCGGGCCTCTCACTGTTGTGGCCTCTCCCGTTGCGGGACGCACAGGCTCAGCGGCCATGGCTCATGGGCCTAGTCGCTCCGCGGCATGTGGGATCTTCCCGGACTGGGGCACAAACCCGTGTCCCCTGCATCGGCAGGCGGACTCTCAACCACTGCGCCACCAGGGAAGCCCAGCTATCATCCTTTCTTATTTCCTATCTCTTCTAAGTTTCTTAAGAGTAATCAAAACCCGGTTAAATGTCCTCATCTCAGTTTGGTTCAATCCATTCCATCTCTCTTCCTGAAATCACCCTGCCTTCTACTTGTTCAATATTTGACACTTCTGGCAAGTTATTTTAAAATTCATGAAAATTGTTTTCTTCCTTGGAATCTGTGATACCACTCCCTCTGGTTCTCAGTATTTCTGTTTATTCCTTCATAATTGCTTTTGTGAACTACACTTCTTTACCTAACTTGAAGTGTTGACATGGCCCAGGATTTGGTATTTGGCCATCTTTTCCTTTCAGTCTGTACCTTCTCCCTGGACAGTTTCATTTATTCCAATTTTGTTTTGTTTTTTGCTCCACTTATATTGAACCAGATTGTATTTCCAGCTTTCACTTTTCCTACAAGCACTTTAAGTTCAGCATACCCAAAACTGAACTCATGATTTCCCCCAGCAGCACCATCTTTCCCCTGTCCTCTAAAATCCTTTCTCTTCAGCCTGAAGAAAGTCCCTTAACATTTCTTGCAGTTCGAGTCTGGTTGTAATTAACCCCCTTTGTTTTCCTTTTCATGAAAATGCCTTTATTTCATCTTCACTATTAAAGGATATTTTTGTTGGATATAAAATCCAGGTTGACGGGGTTTTTCCTTTCATTACTTGAAGGTGTTGTTCCAGTGTCTTCCATGGTTTCTGTGGAGAACTCTGGTCATTTGAATCCTTTCCCTGTATGTACTATGTTGTTTCTTCCGACTGCCTTTGGGGTTTTCTGTCTTGGTTTGCAGCAGTTTGACTGTGATGTGTCTAGACATGGTTCCCTGCAAAATTATCCTGTTTGAGGCTTGCTGAGCTTTTTGAATTTGTAAATTTACAAATATGTGTCACTGAATCTGAGAATTTTTCTGCCATGATTTCTTGAAATATTTTTTTCTGCCCAATTTTCTCTCCTGGGACTCCAATTACTCATGTATTAGACTTTTTGAAATTGTCCCATGAGTCCTTGAAGCTTTCTTCATCTTTATCAGTTTTCTTAAATTTGAGATATAATTAACACCCCATAAAATTCACCCATTTAATGTGTACATTTCACTGGTTTTTAATTTTCTTATAGAGTTTTGCAGCCATCACCACAATCTAAGTTTAGAATGTTTCCATCAACCCAAAAAGAAACCAGAACCTGTTAGCAGTACTTTCCGTCTTACCAGCCCTACACAACCACTGAACTACTTTCTCTATATATAATTTGCCTCTTCTGCACCTTCGTATAAATAGAACCACACAATATGTTGTTGGCTTCTTTCACTTAGCATAATGTTCAATCTTATTTTTCTCTCTTCCTCAGATTGAATGATTTCTGTTGATCTGTCTTCAAGTTCATAGACGTTTTCCTCTGTTCTCTCCATTCTGCTCTTAAGCCTATCCAGTGAATTTTATCATTTCAGAAGTTGTGGGCTTGGGTTCTAAAATTTCCATTTGTTTTCAATAAGTTCTGTTTGTTACTCTGCTGAGATTTCTCATCTTTTCATTGATGATGAGTGTCTCTTTATTTCACTTGACAGTAATATCTGTTTTACAACCAGACCTGATAAATCAACCTCTGGGTTGTTTTGAGGCTGGCCTCTGTTGATTTCTTTTCCCTTGAGAATGACGCATTTTCCTGGCTCTGTATATGGCAAGTAACTTAAGATCATACCCTGGGCATTGGGAATGGTGTGTTGGACTCTGAATTCTGTTATGTTGCTCAGGAAAGAGTTGGTGTTTTTGTTTTAACAGGCAGTTAAATCATTTAGACTCAAATAGCATAATGTGAAGGCAGTCAGTTCAGAAGATCGGATCTCAATTCAGTTCTTTAATTTAAGCCTTAGTTGGAAGCTGCTTTTAGCTATCCTATGCACATATGGTTTGGGGGTCAGCCAGAGACTTGAGCTAAGTTTAAACACAGAATTAGGGTTTCCCTTTCTCTGCTGTCTCCAGGCTTCCCCACTTCCTCTGGCAGCTCTTCTTGCCCCTGTCCTCTTTTCCTAGTTCCTCTGGCTTGAAAGATGGTCTTTTTGTTGGCCCTTTGGCTGCCTGGTTCTGATGCTACAACTGTGGCTGCCCTCAAGGTAAAACCACAAAAAATCAGGAACTTATCCTAGGCCAGTCACTTGCTTCAGGTGTTGACTCCCTTACAAAAATTGTATGTTTTTGGTCGATCTGTATGACCCTCAAGTAGCTGTTTTTTGTATTTTGACCAGAACACTTATCAAATTAATCCACCTACTATTTGATAAGTGCTCCCTCTTTCATACAGGAAGCAGAATTTTTTGGTTTAATTTTAAAGAATAAAGTATGACAGATAAACTGGAGTTCCCCTGTGTTCCCTCCCCTGATCTCACCGCTCTCCTTCCATCCCCAGAGGCAACGCCTTTCACAAACTTTATGTGGATCTGGTTTGTATCTTTATACTGAGACAATACAGCTTGGAGGTTTGGAATATGGGCTCTGGATACATACTGCCAAAAATAATAACCTTTGCAAGTTACATATCCTCCCTATGCCTTAGTTTTGCTTATCTGTAAAATGGGGATAATAATTCCCACCTAATAGGGTTGATAACAAGGATTGAGGTCATTTATAAAAAAGCACTTAGGATAGTGTCTAAAACTTAATAAGCACTCAGTATATTTTGGTTATTGCTTATTTATCATTATTCTTACTACAACTTTATAGTATAGTATTTCATGTGGTTTTAAAGAAAATTTACAGAGAGGGATTATTCTATCAAGTTTTTGCTCAACATAAGCATTTTGAGTTCTTTATAATCCTTTCCCTTCACAGCTTTGTTTTCTTATTTGTGTTGAGCTATATATTTTATCATTTTTAATCTCCAGGGCCAATTACAGTACCTAGCATATAATAGATACTCTAGGAAATTTAAATTGAAATATATGTGTCACTGACTGGTTTTGTTAACTTCTTTTTTTTTTTGGTTTTGTTAACTTCTTGATAAACTGTTTATGTGTCTGCAGCTGTCTTCTGTACAGGTGGAAGAGATGGCAACATTATGGTCTGGGACACCAGGTGCAACAAAAAAGGTAATCTAGTTCCATTTTAATTTTGATATATGTGGGATTGCCCCATAATAATTCTGAATGAAAGAATCAACTATTTCACCTGATTACCACCAGGGGGCACATGTTCATAAACCCCAATTCTGCTCTGTTCAGTTCTCAGGATCTTAGTGATTGTTTTAAGTATTACCCTCCATATTTACCTCATATTGTCTTCTGAACTATAATGCCATTTACCTAATTTATTGATGGAATTGAAATTATTAGTACATGATCTTTTATTTTAATTTTAAAAATTTGGGAACTTTTAAGAATTGGATTAAATTAAATATAATTATACTCACATTGCCCTATGATACCATTAAGCAGAAAGCAATGATCATCTCCCTGCTTCACTTTTTTGTAAAAACATTATTTTTAATAGACTATTTTTTAGAGCAATTTTAGATACGCAGCAAAATTGAACAGAATGTACAAAGAGTTCTCTCTGTACTGATATACCTCCTGTCCCCACACAGCCTCTCCCACTGTCGACATGTCCAACGTCCAACCAGAGTTGGACATTTGTTACGATTGGTGAACCTACTCTGACACATCATTATCACCCAGTGTCCGTCTGTACTTTACATTATGGTTCACTCTTGGTATTATACATTCTCTTGGTTGTGACAAACATATAGTGACATATACCTACCATTATAGTATCATACAGAATAGTTTCTCTGCCCTAAAAGTCCTCTGTGCTCTACCTATTCATCCTGCACGCCCCCGAACCTCTAACAATCACTGATCTTTTACTATCTCCATGGTTTTGTTCCCAGAATGTCATATAATTGGAATCATACAGTATGTAGCCTTTTCAGATTTCCTTCTCTCACTTAGTAATACGTATTTAAGGTCTGTTTATGGCTTGTTACCTCATTTTTTTTAGCACAGAATAATATATCATTGTCTACATATGCCACAGTTTTATTCATACATTCCCCTACTGAAGGATATCTTTGTTGCTTCCAAGTTTTGGCAGTTATGAATAAAGCTGCTATAAATATCCATGTGCTTATTTCCTTTTTATACATCATAATCTCACCACAAGAGATGCAGTACAGTAGCCCTGCTGGCTTCTAATTTCACTAATTTAATAAAGAATATAATTAATTTTGACATCTTATATATAAATGTTACATTCAGCATGGGAATAAAGTTCTGAAACCTAAACCATTTACCTTGGAATATTTTTCAGATGGATTTTATAGGCAAGTGAATCAAATCAGTGGAGCTCACAATACCTTAGACAAGCAAACCCCTTCAAAACCTAAGAAGAAACAGAATTCAAAAGGGCTTGCTCCTTCTGTGGTAAGGTTTTATAACTGTATACATGTGTGCAGATCTTGACAGTAGCATAGAGTCTCATTTTAGGGAATTCGTTGGGCATAAAATAGGAGCTAGAGATTCAGTCAATGAATGAGAATCTTCATTTCCTCTTGATGTCACTGGTTTATTGCTTAATACCAGTTCAGTACCTATGGTACTGGTACTCAAACTCTAGTGTGCAACAGAGTCACTTGGGGAATATGTTAAAAATTCAGTTTCCTGAGACTCATCCCTAGAGATCTCCATGCATACACATCATCTACAGTATGATGTGATTCATTAGGAAAGGGAGATGGGTAGTTTGAAGAAGCATATTAAGTACCATGATACAGTATTCTGTAGGGGAAAGGAATCCCGGTTGTTGTTTTCATAATACAAACTGCAGAAAAGATATGGGTTTTTTATTATTTTTGTTTTTTAATATTTGGCAAAAGATTATAAAATATTTTGAGAAATATTGGGGTAAAATATAGTACCTCTTTAGCATATTATAGTCAAAGCTCAAACAATGCCCATAATACAGCTTTTTTCTTTAAGAAAAATCACCAGTGTTCTTACTTGAATTTGTTTATTTTTCTAGTATTCTTGGTGTATAGAGTCTTAGTTAATATTTTGGGGACGTGTGGTTGCTAGAACATTAGGACTTAAAATTACACGGGCATGAATGGAAACTGACAGGGTTAGCATGTGATTTTTGGAGGCCAGATGAAGTTAAAATGAGTAACATTTCAGACTTTTCATCAGATTCTTAGCCAAGAAAACTTAACAGCAATTAGGAGGTAAAACTCTACTAGCTCCTTTAGAGTTTTCATACCATGTAACCATCTTTCGTTCACAATTCTTTAGATACTCGTATATGACAATCTGGATAGACGGCAACATTTTATAGATGAAACAGGTACAGGTTAAATGAGGTTCCTAAGGATAGACAGTAGGGATGATTTCAAATAGAGCTAGTAGACTTAGACAAGTACTAAAATCTTGTGTTAATCACCAGTTTTTTCTTGAATACGAGTCAAAGTGTTCATACTATGTAATATAACATGATGTTTAGGTCACTTCCTTGCTACAATTACTTCTTGGTCTGCATATATATCTGACTAGGATTATTGGAAGGGCAAGATCTAGTCATACTCAGTTTAGGGGAAAAAGCCATCATTTTAGCGCCTTGGTCTCTTGATAGTGAAGATTGTTATAGCCAAAATAGGATTTCCTTCTTTTCTTTTTCTTCCTTGTGCTGTAGGATTTCCAGCAGAGTGTTACTGTGGTCCTCTTTCAAGATGAGAATACATTAGTCTCAGCAGGAGCCGTGGATGGGTAAGACGAGTCTTTATTTCTTGGTTCTTTTGGTGAGCTGTCTTTCATGAACTGGGATGGGGAAGTCACCTAGACCCATTATAATTCAATGTGTGTGCTTTTAACTTTCAACATAGTGAGTACCCAGCTGAGAAGAGGAATTACAGATCACACTGGAAAATATCTAGTTAGGACTCTTGCTCAAATAATTAAATGAGATAATGTATCACACTTAGCACATTTCTAGCACATAGGAGGAGTGTTGGCTGCTGCTGCTATTATAGAGAAGCTGGCTGGGTAACTTGCTTGTCTGTGCAGTGTAATTTAATCAAGGATTCTTATTTTGAGGAGCAAAATTTCTGTTACAGGCATATATCAGAGATATTGCAGGTTTGGTTCCAGACCACTGCAATAAAGCTAATATCACAAAAAAGGGAGTCACACGAATTTTTTTGGTTTCCCAGTATATATAAAAGTTATATTTATATTATGCTCTATTTATATTAGTATATTATAGTTTATTATATTACTATATAGTTATATTTACATTGTAGTCTACTAAGTGTGTGATAGCATTATGTCTAAAATAATCAATATACAGACCTTAATACAAAAATATTTGATTGCTAAAAAATGCCAAAATAATTACAATAGTAGCATCAAAGATCACCAATCACAGATCACTATAACAAATATAATAATGATGAAAAAGTTTGAAGCATTGGGAGAATTAGCAAAATGTGGCACAGAAACATGAAGTGAGAAGATGCTTTTGGAAAAATGGCACCTATAGACTTGCCACAAACCTTCAATTCGTAAAAGAACGCAATATCTGTAAAGCACAATAAAGCAAAGCACAGTAAAATGAGGTATGCCTGTATTTTTGATTTTGTCTTTTCTGGTTTAGTAATATCCTAAAAGGAGGAATATGATTCTGGACATGTAACTGGCATTTCTGGGAGCAATCTAACTAGATTGATAGGCCTAAAGACTTTCACATACTTTCCTTCTATGATTGCTCTGAATTTTTGGCTTCCAAATAAGTTTGTGATACTTCTTGATTGTTTGCTTTGTTGGAATTTAAGTTCATTGAGTATAGGGGCTCTTTTTAAAATTCTCTTCTTTGCCCCGTTTTTGCCCCTATCTCCCAAGACATCCCTCCCTTCAAAAGTTTTAATTTTAAAATATGATGGCTTAATAAACTAGAATTTCTATTGTGTCCTCTGGACACTTAAACTCTTCTGTGGACTGAATTCTCAGGCACAAATGTAGAATTATCTAAAGGTTATTAGTTATATTTGTAAATGGCTGTGAAAGCTTTGCTTCCAAGGATACTTCCCTTTTATAACCAAGCTTGTGTTTTCAAGTTGCCTACAAAGTAGATGTAGAAGATTAAGAAAATTATTCCAATAGATGAAATGAAAAAATACTTTATTTCACAGGAAAATTTGTTTAGACTAGATTACTTAAGGAGTTAATATATGAAGATATAACCATAGGGACAGAGCTTAACACTTAATGATGTCAGAAGTTACATGCAGAATGTTAAAGGCTTAGGAAGTGCTTTTTTCTGAAAACAATGAAACAATGACTATCAGCAGTCAACCTTCATCTTCCTTTTCCGCTCCCTTGAAGTAAACTCAGGGCAACCCATCAGTGGGTCAGATCACATCTGTTTCCGTTCTGCCAGAATTGTTAGCCTGACGTTGGAGACAAGAGTATGAGATAGTTCAATCTGTTTCCCAATGACATATCCTCACTGTACCTGGTTGATGTGCCAGAGGAATTAGATTAAAAGTCATTTCACATTCATATGTAGTTGAAACTGATTGGTGTTGGAGAAAGACTATAAAATAACGATTTCTTTACCTTGGTTTTTAGGGTAATCAAAATATGGGATTTACGTAAGAATTATACTGCTTATCGGCAAGAACCCATAGCATCCAAGTCTTTCCTGTACCCAGGTAGCAGCACTCGAAAACTAGGTAAGCCTTTGCGTATTCATTAGGACTTTTTTGTAGGGCTTTTTTGGATATGTAAGTTTTGTTAAAATTTTTAAAGTAAATATCAAGCTAGTTTTCAGCAACTATTATTCTCTGTTGACTTGAGAAGCTAATATATGGAAGTATCTTTTTGAAGTTCAAAAGATAGAAACTCCTAAGAATAATTTTGGTTTGTATATACTTTAGGGAAGAAGAATTCTGATGATTCTTGTGAAATGATCTAAAAAGATCATTTTCACCTCAGTTCTACTCTCCTTTATCAGTGCATGCTAACTAAAGTTTCCTTTTTCTAGGATACTCAAGTCTGATTTTGGATTCTACTGGCTCTACTTTATTTGCTAACTGCACAGATGACAACATCTACATGTTCAATATGACTGGATTAAAGACTTCTCCAGGTAGGAGCTTAGTCATTCAGATTCTCTTTCCTGGAAACTAATAGGGTTTTTTTTGTTAATGAGAATTTAATGTTGATTTTTTTTTTTTTCTGTACCAAATTTATGAAGACATATAAGGACTTTGGTGTCTTCGATTAGTTCCAGTGATGTTTTTATAGATGTATTTACCTTGTGATGATTTCACAAGTGAACAGAATCCTGCTCTGTGTGGTAACTTAATAGTGAGTCCCTCCCGAAATTATACCCCTTTGGGTATACTTAAAATTATCTCAATTTTTGTGGGATAGAGAAGGCTGTTCTGCCCGGGTTTTGTCCTATTTGGGAACTGTTCATTAAAATTAGGGGACCTCTGGATGTTTTCCCTAACCTCACCTTTTTATTTTTCTTCAAGAAAATTATAAGTGGAATCTGACTTTAAAGCTGATAAATAACATTTTAAAAAATCAAAGTTTTTCAAGCATACTCTAAGAGGGTTATTTGAATTTCATCATTTTAAGAACATTATCAATTATTTAAGCAAGCTGCATATTTTGTAACCTACTTCTCAGGTATAGCTCTGTCAGAAACTGACTTTGAATTCTATAACCAATCCCTAGAGCTACCCAGTTCCCAGTAAAGTAAGATGTGTTGATAAAAAAGAAATCTTAAAATTGTACAGAATTTAGCTGGGCTCTTAGAGAAGTTTCTAAAGACTGACCCCTAGCCATTGTTAGGACTTTGGTATCTGTGGCAGTTACCCAATTGGTATTTTCAGTGCCCTGGGATAGGTCTGACGTTGTCTAAACAAGAATAAGAGTATTTGGAAAAGGGAAGAGGTTTTATAACTTTGCTTGCTGTCTTCGTGAATGGAATTAGAACTTGGACAACTTCTAATTTATTTAGCCGTATAAAACAGACTCAAATTTTTCCCTAAAAGATAAAAGCCTAATTATATTATCAGATGTCCAAGAGCTCTTTCTGTATCATTTTGTTATAGTGTGGCACCAAAAGGGGCTTTGAATTTAGTTGTCCTTCTGCCATTAAAACAAATATGCCCAAGGCCACTTTACTAATAATTTAGTAACCTTTTTCCTGTGCTCCTGAAATAATTTGATTGGCTCTCATATATAGATAGGTAGGTAGGTAGATACATAGGTATGTTCCTTAGAAATTGAAAAACAGACGTGTGTGTGTGTGTGTGTGTGTGTGTGACACATCTGGTAATTGCTCGTCTTTTTCAAAACTTTAGAAAGGGTCCTGGACTCAATACTTGATCTCCTATACTTTTAATTCACAGCATTTTATTACACTAAGTGATGTTCATAAAGATGACTCTGAAGCACTTTAATGAAGATTTTAAAAGCCCGAACTGTCAAAGATTAAATTAAACTAATTAAAGCCAATACAGGTTTTAGAAGGATTTTTCACATGGTTTGAAACATTTACTGTGTACTTTATGTTGGCTTTCTTAGACCAGCAGAGGGCAATGAATACTTACGAGTTTAGTGGGAAATTTGGTCTATAGTTTTCCATTCGTAGCTAAGAGTTGAGAAAGATGACCAATTGTAGTTTTGGAGTTGTAGTCAGAATAAAGGAGCCTGTTTATTTTGTGGGGATTTATCTATCATAGTTGCTCTATAATATGTGTATCTGAATTGATTCATATCCTGCTTAACTTTCACAATAATAGTATTTGATGTGGGGGTTATTTGATGTGCAGGCTTTTTCTTAAAGGCCTATAAATACAAAGTTTTTTTCCAGTGTTATTCTAGCAAAAGGAAGGGATTTTTGTGAGTACTTACAGAAAGCTGTTAAGTCCCTTAATAATTCTTTTTTCCCCTCCATTAGAAGATTGGAGTGAAATATTTTTTCCTGCCTAAATGTATCCTTAAATTTTCTAATGACTGAGATTTTTTTCTTTTATTTCCTAGTAGTATTCTGATGCCAGAGGCCTCAGGTTTTGGTCTCCTTAGGATAAAAGAACTTGTCAAGTACATTATGCTAGATTGGATAGTGAGAAGTCTAAACCTAACCTAGTTGGAGTATCTTACATATGAATATATAGCTTACCCCACTTCAGCCTATTTAAAGTGCTAGATTTAAGGTTACCACATCTCAGATAAGCTATCCATAAATCTTAACTCTCCTTTCATTGATTTTTACCTGTTCATACAACAAATGTTTGAAGATCTCCTCTGTTCAAAGCATTATAAGAAAACAATATTTATGAAATTTATCCTTAAGATAAGTCTAAGAGGAGGAAAGACGAATGTTTAATGCAACGGAAGAAACCTAGCCTAGGGTGGGGAGAGAGGGTCTAATAACGCACTTTACTAAAGGATTGGACCCCAGCTCCATTCTTGTCCTTTAAGAATATTTTTCATCACTTTCTTCTCTACAGCCAGCTCCATACCAAGTATTTGGGTTTAGATTGTGAGATTGGGTGTAATATAAAGCCTCTTTCTAGGATTTCCATTCTTTCCCTGCCAATGTCCAGTTCTTTTTTATTTGGTGACTAGCTTGACCATCTGCTTCAGTAATCAGTACACTAATAAAAGTTGTTAGAACATGTATACTCCTCATTTATTTGAAAACTGGAAATAACAAGAGCCAAGTAATTTGATTTTTTTTCCTCTGGCAGTGGCTATCTTCAATGGACATCAGAACTCTACCTTTTATGTTAAGTCCAGTATTAGTCCAGATGACCAGTTTTTAGTCAGTGGCTCAAGTGATGAAGCTGCCTACATCTGGAAGGTAAGTTACCAAACTTTCCCCACAAAGGTGAGGCTGAAGTATTCTTGCAAATATTTCTTCTGTCCAAGATGAGGTAAGGTTAATGTAAACACATACTTTAACTTTTCTGTATCAGATGTTTAGTAAAAATTGCTTCTTGCCTCTTAATATAGCCAAAACTTCACTCTGATTCTGACAGAAGATATCACACTTTCATGGTCAGCTTCTCAGAAATTGACAATCCATATCCTCCAACAGTTTTACAGATTATCAGGAAGTTGAGAATTCAGAAGACTGGAAAGAATCTTAAATACTTTGTCCTGCTTCCTGGAAAAACATGCTGTTCTGCCTTTCTGCCCTGTGTTTTCAAACTCTCATTAAAAACACAGTGTTTGGATACTAGAATCCTACCCCCGAATCACACTTGCAAAAAACACTCACTCAAAAATATTCATATAGTAATTGTGTTCTTTAGTCTCCTCTAAGTGGCCAATCTTCAGGCTATTGAAATAGATGTGGTTGCTTTGTTAGTTTTGTACATCTTTAATAGCATTATTTATTCATTTATTTATTTATTTTACAGATTTCCCATTTCTGTTACAGAAATTTATAATTTCTTTTTTTACATTTTAAATAAACAGTGGTTCTAAAGTGACTACTCTAGGCTAAGAAACTTAATGCTGTCAATTTGAAGTCAAGTGGAGAAAATTGAAATATAAGTAGCACTTGCTGACCACTGGAAAATGTCTCTTGTGGAATAATTAATTATAGAAATGTCTGAGTTCAGAGAAGGAATAAGAGCATTAAGGCATTGTTTTCCTAGGGCTAGAAATTATTATCTTCCAGATTGCCCTACAATATCATAAACTTCCTTGATATTGGTGAATTGAATGATCAGAGTTCACACATTTTGGATTTTAGAGTCATAATGTCTAAAACTTCATAGACCTATAGGTTCAATATTATCAAATTCCTTCTCAGGAGGAAATTGTATCATTCTTAGTACTGCCAATCTCTAGAAAGTCATACCTTTAATGCAGGGCAGGGGTAGATCCTGTCAGGTATGAAGCATAATTCTTCAGCTTAATTTCATCTGGTCCTGAGGGAGGTACTAAAAAATGCTTTTTCTATATACCTCTAGGTTTGCAACTCTAGTTGCAAAAATGCAACACTACCTTATCAAAAGCTTTAGTAACAATAACCTAGATGGTCACAAGGTGGAGATACTGTTCTATCCAAGATGCCTTTGTGTTGACCTCTTTTTCTTCAAGCACATTTGTTGTATTTTTAAAATGAAAAATTTGCTTATAAAATATACAGTTGAGAACTCCCTCTTATGGTAAGAGTTTTTGCATAGCTTCCTGTCTATAAAATTCTTCTGACTTGAGCTTTAAACTTTATGTGACTAGCACTAATGTTTCTGTCTCATAATCTGGTCTTATGCTGTGTATTTATTGTCTTTTGGTTTTCCCTTTCCCCTTCCCTCACTGTTTTACCTACATTTCCCTTCTCTACTATGGTTCCCAACTTAGTTAGAGGATTTTATTCCTACCAAGGTCTGTATCTTTTTAAGTTTTTTCTTAAAAACAAAATTTCAGACATACCAAAAAGTATAATAAAGGATTATGCAAAAAAAAAAAAACTTCAGGCACTGATCATTTTTTTAAATCATTTAAAATCAGCTTCTTAATTATATATATATATAATTATATATTATGTATGTGTATATGTATAGTCTTATTGCCAATTCTTCAATTTATTTGTTTTCTGTGTTTTGTTTTTTTCTTTTTATTGCCAAGCCTTAAAGTTCCTCCCTAGCTCTAGTACAAATGCTTGCTTTTTTTTTTTTTCCTTCTTGGTTTCAGGAAATCAGGGTTGAGGGTTGCTTCCTCTCTTTAAAGACATGAAGTAAAGATACTTGGTGGTTCATTAGTAACCCATATCAGGCATTCAATCAGTAGGTATCACACACATGGGTGACCCTTTTTGAATTCTAGGCTGGGTCACATGTCGGTGCTGAATGATGTGGTTCAAACATGATGTTCTCCTGCCTGTCCCTCAGTGTGCAGGTTCTGATATTTGAGATCCTGGCAAACTTACTGCTCCTAAAATTGAATGTGCCTAGTGAGGTGGCTCAGTTTCTCTTTTCCATGATAAGGAAAAGTGGGAGGGGTGTAGTTTAAAAAAAATTGCACACAAGCTGAGTATTCAGGCTGTTAGGTCAGAATTCTCTCAGGTGTTACAATTCTCCTATGCCGAAAAAGCCCACGGGCCCAAGAAAACAGGGTGAAAGAAGGGAATTTTAGATCTCAAGACAGAAGAGAATGGCCTTTTAATCCTCACCACTGGCCAGCAAAGAGGAGATGTAACATAATTAGACTTTCTGACACTGAGGCCTAAGACTTAAGAATTAAAAGATTTAATATTATGTTATTTTTCTTTTTTAATTTCCTACCCCTTGTCCTCCTCTCACCCCTACCCACCTCCCCTTCCCTGGTTCATTTCTGATAGAGCCACTGAATAGTATTGAAGTGGTTATAAATAAACTGATTTGGCACCATCATTCTACCACTGATTGGCAAAACATTGAGCCTGACACTTTAGGAAGTGTAAATGATCTCTTGGCAAAAATGAAGATTAGGTTTGGTTTCTAACTGGGCAGAGTAAGGAGGTTTTTTGAGGAAAAGTGCTGATCTTTTTTTCATGTTCAAGTACACAAAATGTTTTATGAAGTCTGTAGGTTAGAGCCAGTTACTTCATAGTTCTGGGAGTTTTAACTTCGGAATTTCTCATGCCTTGAGTTAGTCTTTATTCTATAACAACTAAAATTTGTAAGAGAGGACAATTTTCTGTGTTTTGACCATTCTCAGAATGCATAGATGTTTAAGTGTCTCTTGGATTTAATAGTCACCTCTTCTTGTTTGAAAGTAGAGGGAGGTTTTTAAAAAATGAAATTATCATTGTGATAATATTTTTATAATAATGAAGTGACAATAAATAAAAACTTATTTGAATAAAAATGAAGGATTTAAAAGTCACCTGAGTTTCATTAGAAGAAATTAATCTTCTTTGAAGTAGTCACCAAGTATAGTTTACCATACTAGGATAGTCCTCAACTGTGAAAGCACTTGTTACTAACGTTCATAAAAACTTGTTGGACATCAGTTCTCATTCCAGCCCACAACATGCCCTTCCCTCCACTTTTTTTTGTTGAGATAGAATTTGTATAATGTAAAATTCACCATTGTAGTCACCTTAAAGTGTACAAGTCAGTGATTTTTTTTTTCACATAAGCACAGTATTGTGCAACCATCCCCACTGTCTCATTCCCAAATATTTTCATCACCCCATACCCTTTAAGAGTCACTTTCAGCTTCTGGCAACTACTAACCTATGTTCTGTCTCTAGGGATTTGACTATTCTGAACATTTCCTATAAATGATCTTTTATGCCTGGCTTTGCTTTCACTTAATGTTTTCAAGGTTTATCCATGTTGTTGCATGTATCAGTACTTCATTCCTCTTTACGACTGAATATTCCATTGTATGTATAGACCTTGCTTTACTTATTTATTCATCAGTTGATGGAGATTTAAATTATTCCACTTTTTGGCTTTATGAACAAAGCTACTATGAACATTCATGTACAGATTTTTGTTTGAACATGTCTTCAGTTCTCCTAGGAGTGTATACCTAAGAGTAGAATTGCTGGGTCATGTGGTAATTAATTCTGTGTTTAACTGTTTGAGGAACCTTCCCCTCATTTTTAATGCTGTGTAAAGTACCTGGCTCATGGTAATCATTTCAATAAATGCTGACTTTTGTTACTATTATTATTCCTGCCTTATTATCAAATTGTAAAAAGTTTTTCTAACAGGTCTACCCTTTGTGTTTTTTTTCTTTTAAATCCTATAGATAAATGCAGAAATGTACATACATTCTATTGGTGGATATTTGTTTTTTCTTGACATTAATTTTAATCTTTGGTATAGAGAGTCAGGTTTTCCTAGGTATTTTAATGCCTAGGAAAATGAGGAAGGGGCAGGATCATGAAATAAAGAGCTAGAAGCAACAGGCAAGTAAACCAATGGAGTAAAATAATGTGTTGTTACCAGGGAGGGTCAGGAGGACATGAGGATTTCCTCTTCCTTTTAACTTGCTGCTTGCAGTACTCCTTGGGCCTTGGGTAGAGAAACTTTATGGGCTGGGGCCATAAAGAATTTCTGTACTTGAGATAGAGACTATCTTCAAAGTCTTTTCTAAAATATGCTACCTTGTGAAAGAATGAGCTCTTGTTCTCTGTGGCATTGTAGGAGTAGGCAGCAAGTGAAGTCCTTTTAGATCTCAAGAAAAAGCCCAGCAAGGCAAATTAGATTCTGCTCTTTGTCTTCTTCGGCTTTTTGAATCATTACACATGTGCCATTTAACCCAAGAGAGGAGTAGTAATAATTGAGTTGGGTAACCTTATGAATCAGTGTGTCGAATCCCTTTAACTACAGTCTGAGGAGTCCATTAAGCTTACTTAGTAATTCTCACAAATATTCTTCCCAGAATGCCTCCACTTTCTTCATACAAATGAGCAATGATTCAGATCTTCAGGAAAATGAAAAGAGAATAATTTCTCTTTTTCAAACACATGCTAATAATAGCTGTGTGAGTTTGTACTCCATGTTGTGCTGATTAATGCCCATGGCCTCTGATAGGGATTGACAGCTCTTGAATGAGTCAGCTGTCAAATGCACATCACTAATGGCATCGAATGAGCGTGAAAATATTCTTAGTCACATGTGTAGTACTGCACAATGTGACCCTTCTTTATACATTAAAATGTATTGAGATGTGGCAATACTTAACTTGAAAATTCAAGATTTCTTTAAGCAAATGAATTTAAATAAAATTTTAGAGGAATTTTTTTTCCAAAATGGATAAAAAGTGCCATGTAGAATATAGCTTATACCCCTTCAAAATGAAGGAGTATAACTGGGCTTTCTTAAAAGTCAGTGAGTCTTCTTTTGGAAGAAAGACTGTCCTCTTGTCCCAAGAGATCTGCTAGCATGTCTCAGGTACCTTCAGGACTTAGTAAGTGCAGCGTTCCTGGAAGTAGCTGACTAGAGAAGATCTAAAGTTGTCTAGGCTCCACTTGAAGTGTACTACCTAGTTGCTGAACCTTACCCTTTCAGTCTTGAATTTTAGTCAAAATACGTATAGCTAAGTTGTCCTGATTTGAAATAAGACCTGTCCTGGTATGTAAGCTCATATTGTTTACTTATTTTGGCTATTTTCATTCTGTTTTTTCAGATTAATGACAGAAATACTTTCATTGCCCATTGGGACTTTTTCTGAGCTATAAGTAGGCATGTCTAGGGGCTTTTGGTAACAACCCTAAAGCTCTCTAAGGTACAGATATGGAGAAATTCGAAGCCTCTGTCTGGGAGACCTACCACTGCTCTGCTGACTTGTTTTTTTCTTTTTGATGTTGTGATAGGTCTCCATACCCTGGCATCCTCCTACTGTGCTCCTGGGTCATTCTCAAGAGGTCACATCTGTGTGCTGGTGTCCATCAGACTTCACAAAGGTTTGTAGGTGAATCTGTGGTTGGTTTAAAAAGTAGATCACAGGTTTGTAGGTTTTCCCAAGGTTAGCTTGAGAGTTAATACAGACTTTTATGTTTATATAGACATTTAAAAGATCTAGAGGCCATCCAGAATCTGTATCATCATTAATCACACATATTCTATTTTTTATACCAATAGATAAACTGTATTATGCACTGAAGAATAAGTGGATTTCTTAGTTCCCTAGAGTCATTCCTTTCCTAAACATAGGATTTAAGTTTTTAACATTAATAAAATTTCATTTTAAAATCGAAGGTAAAAAGAAAATCTAAGGTGAAAACTAGTGTTTCTGACTTTCTACATATTATCAATGTGGTGTGTTAAAGGTAACACCTTGACTGTTCTTCACAGTCCAGTTTGGGTTCTCACATGCCTGAAAAATGCTTACTGTGAAGTCTTAACGTGTTAGGCTGTCTGTGACTAAACTAGAGAAGTAGCTCCAAAGTATTTTAGACACTTTGAAAAGAAGAAAATATAGTCACTTAAAAATTTTTTTAATAGTGATACTAAAAACAAGTAAAAACCCTGAAAGGTAGAAATCCCAGAAACATAAACAAACTCCACATACATGTAGGGATTTCATATAATAGTGGCCCGAGTTCCACTCACTTCTCCAGGGCCTACCCTTGGTCTTTGGGTTATTTTGGGTTTGCAGGAAATGTCCCTTCTGTGGAGAGCTCCTTTTTTATCTATTATGTTTTGAAGGTTTGTTGCCTATTATTCCCATCTGTTTTTTTATCTTCCAGAATCTTCTCATGGTCTGATCTACTCATGGCATCCCTGCTAGCTTTCCAGTACTACTGTGGATTTCCTTTTATTTTTATATCCCTATATAACCATTTCTGTGATGAGCTTCATGATAGACATTTTTTGAAATCATTGCTTTAATCACCAAAAATTACACCCCTATGGCATTTTCCCTCTAAGATTCCCTGTGATTTCCAGTGAAACGTCTGCTTTTAATGTGGAATTTTATACCTTCATAGAACTTACTGAGATGATTTTTTTTTATTATTCAGTTAATTATCATCTTTTTCCATCCATCATATATTGCCCTTATCTCTTTGCACAGAAAAGACTCAAAGGAAGTAGCAGGGCTGTTTACTCATACCAATTTAACGACCACCTTTTTAAAAGGTTCTTTAAAATAATTTTGTCCCGAGCCTAGAATTAGGAAGATAAAAATACCGCTTTAAAAAAAAAAAAAGATTTACACTTAGAAATTGAAAAAACTTGGATTTAAATTCTAGCTCTGCCACTTAATTGTGGTGACCTTGGGCAAATAACTTTATTTCCATTTTGTAGATGAGGTTATTTGAGTACAAGCCTTTTTATATTGTGAGAATTAAATAAGGTAAAGAACATAAATTTTCAGACATTCAGATTTAGTAGTTGCTCTGTAAATAATAACTTGTTTATAGACTATAGAATAACTGGGGATTCCAGGCATTTCTTTTGAGCAGTTAAATATGTGTGTCTTCTTTTGGCCTCCCAGTGAGGAAAGGAAAAAGCTGCCAGCCTCTTGGGGACCAAGACTTAAGAGAACGTGTGTTCTTTTTTTTCCTCTCTCTTTAGTTACTGAAATAGAGAAATTATATAAACAAATGCTGGGGAATAGCTCTGGTACCAGTGGCCATTTGCCACAAGCTCTTCAAGCTGGACTTTCTCTGCCATAAAAGGCTTGGGACCAAGATCAGGAATGGTTAGATATTTTTAAAGGGGCAAAAGTTATTTTTAACTTTTTTCAGTCTAGTGAACGTGTCGTTTTCCCAGATTGCTCCTTTACCTATCTGAAAAAGAATCTTAGGGAAAGGTTTCATTCTACTTGCCACAGCATACTAGAGTCATGGACTAAATCAGATCTTGGGAATAATCCCATTACTTTAACAATAAGCCAGAACTTGAGGAAGTCAGAGGAAAGTCATACAAATTAAATGTCAGTGACATACACTGACTGATCTTTTAAGAGAAAGAGTAAAAATGACATCTTAATTTAATTACATGTTTTGTAGTTACACAGAAGGTGATAAAGATAATGACTTGCCCAACTTCTTGAGAATAAAATGAAATGAACCTGGTTTTATAGTAGAGCTTTAGGTAGCTAAGAAATGACTGGTCACAAAAGTCATACCAGCAGAATGTATATAAAGAAGAAACTAAAGGATTCACTTCTTTGGAAATCTGGAATGATTCCTGAAAGCAAGGAATGAAAGTATCTGACCTTTCAGATAACATTTTCTATATCCTGTTACATCAGGCAGAATAATTCTCTAATCATCAGCCCTTAAGACATACCTGTTTTTTACTTTGTTGTGAATCTTTGATTGAAACTTATTAACTCCCTTCCTGGTTCTCTGTAGATTGCTACCTGCTCTGATGACAATACACTGAAAGTCTGGCGCTTGAATAGAGACTTAGAAGAGAAATCAGGAGGAGATAAACTCTCCATAGTGGGCTGGGCCTCTCAGAAGAAGAGAGAGGTGAGAGCCGACCTAGGTAAGGATCCCCTGCATTTTTCTAAGTTTTTTAATGGTTTGATTGATTTAGTTCTGTAGTACAGATGGTGAGCTAGATTTGATCTTATTTTGGTATGTTTTCAGAGGAAAGCACCGTCTCATTGACATTCTTTTTAATATATGTTTTCTGAACACTACTATGTTTATCATCTACACAAGGTACTGGAATACACCAGTAGATTTATTTTTTAAGTATTTGTTGAACATCTACTATGTTCTAGGCACTGTTCTAAGTTCCTGGGGATTCTACAATAAACAAAAGATTCAAAATCCCAAAGATGTAAATGAAGCTTACATATTAGTGTGAGAGTCGGCAAATAAGTTAAAGAAGTAAAATTTGTCAGATAACAATATGTGGTTAGGGAAAAAGGAAAGAAGGAATGAGAGAATAGCAAAGCATGCTGTTAAAATTTTAAATTAGGTACCCAGGGAGACCTCAATGAAAAGATGGTATCTGAGTAAAAAAATTGAAGTAATGAAGTAGTAAGCCATATGGATATTTTAGAGAATGTTCTAGGCAGACAAAACAGCAAATGCAAAGGCCCTGAAGCAGGAGCAGGCCTGGCATATTTTGTGTTCCTCAAAGAGGCTAATGTAGCTGTAGTCCCTGTGGCTAAAGCGGGCAAAAAAGAAGAGGGGAATAGTAGTGGAAAATAAGGTTCTTGTATGATTTTGGCTTTTATTCTGACAGACAGAAAGCTGTTGGAGGGTTTTGAATAGAGAAGTGTATGATCTGACTTTTCTTAATTTGATCATTCTAACTTCTGTGTTGAAAACAAATTGTAAGGGGATCAGGGTAAAAGCTGCAAGCTAATTTAAAAACTCATTGAAATAACGCAGGAAGCAATGATGCTGACTTAGACCAAAGAGGTAGCAAATGGTGGGACAAAAAGTCTTCAAAATCTGGATATGATGGAGCCAATAGAATGTGCTGTGGGACGTAAGGGAGAGTTACCAAGGATAACTTCAGAATTTATGGCTTGAGAAGCTAGAAGGGTGGAGTTGCCGTTAACCTATATAGGAATCACTGCAGGAGGAACAGGTTTGGGGGAGGGAACAGCTGGATATGTTGTTTGATATTGTTAGACATCTAAGTGGGGATGTCAGAGAGGCAGTTAGATGTTTAATTCTGCAATTTAGGGCTGGAGTTGTAAATTTGGGATTCATCATCATATTGGTAAAAGGTAGCTATAGATGGAAAAGAGAATAGGTCTGGGGTCTGAGCCTTGGAACATCCTAATACTTAGAAATTGGAGAGGTGAAGGAGCAGGTACAACCTGAGAAGTAAGAGAAAAACCAAGAGTATTGTGTAAACTAAGAAAGATCAGATGTTTTTGGCATGCAATGTAAGATGAAGGCTAAAAACTGACCTTTAGGTTTGGCAGTGCAGGCAACCTTAGTGAGAGCAGTTTTTGGTGGTGTGTTGGTGGCCTGATTAGTGTTGTTCAGGAGGATGGGAGAAGAGAAGGCTCTTTCAAGAAGTCTTCCTAGAAAGGAAAGAAGAGAGATGAAGTGGTAGCTGAAGGAGGAAGCTGTGTTGAAGTTTGTTTTGGTTTTGTTTTGTTTTTTTGTTTTGTTTTGTTTTGTTTTTTTGTGGTACGCGGGCCTCTCACTGTTGTGGCCTCTCCCGTTGCGGAGCACAGGCTCCAGACGCGCAGGCTCAGCAGCCATGGCTCATGGGCCCAGCCGCTCTGTGGCATGTGGTATCTTCCCGGACCGAGGCACAAACCCATGTCCCCTGCATCGGCAAGTGGACTCTCAACCACTGCGCCACCAGGGAAGCCCCTTGTTTTGTTTTTAATGAGAATATAGCATTTTGTATGTGATTGAAAGGATCCTATAGTGAAGGGGAAAATCGATGCAGGGAAGTTTGCTGGACCAGTGTCCTCGAGTGAGGGGATGATATCTAATATACATGTTGAAGAGTAGTCCTTTGTCAGGGGTGTAGATAGTTCATCCATAGTAACCAGAAGGCAGAAATATAGGCACAGTGAAGGTAGGTGGATAAATGGGATGGTCAGAACTTGTGGAAGTTTCCAACTGTTCTGACAGCTTCTATTTTCTTAGATAGGAATGAGGATCATCAACTGAGAATAAGGATGAGGGGTGGAAGTGATAGAGATTTGAGGAGAGAAAAGAAAGTCTGGAATAGTCATATAGAGAATAGAAGAGTAAATGGACCAGGGAAATATGCTGTTGGGCATAAGAGTCAACCTAAGGCTGGCACTCACTCATTGAAAGTGAGCAGTCAGCATGGTTGTGCATCTGCTGCACAGGTACAGGTACACTGTAGGTGGAAAGTTGGTTTTAACCAGTCATATGGTTTGTTTGTTTTTTTTTAATTTTTTTCAGTAATTTAATGTTTTATTTATTTTTGGCTGTGTTGGGTCTTTGTTGCTGCGCGCGGGCTTTCTCTAGTTGCGGTGAGCTGGGGCTACTCTTCGTTGCGGTGCGTGGGCTTCTCATTGCGGTGGCTTCTCTTGTTACGGAGCACGAGCTCTAGGCTCACAGGCTCTAGGCACCCGGGCTTCAGTAGTTGGGGCATGCAGGCTCAGTAGTTGTGGCTCACAGGCTCTAGAGCGCAGGCTCAGTAGTTGTGGCACACGGGCTTAGTTGCTCCGCGGCATCTTCCCGGACCAGGGCTCGAACCTGTGTACCCTGCCTTGGCAGGTGGATTCTTAACCACTGCGCCACCAGGGAAGTCCCTCTGCTGCCTTGTCTTTATATGTATTTTTTGCTCCCTAATTTTGAAAAACAAAAATGAATTATATGAGGAAAAAGCCATCAGCATCGCCACCACTCATACAAAATTTCAGTTAACATTTAGAGTTATTTTTTGAGATTTTACTCCCTTATCCATAGAGATTTTCTTGTTAACAGTCATAGTTAAACTACAGATATATTTGGATTTCTTGAGGATTTTTTTCACTGAACATGATATTCTAAGCACTTTCCGTGTTATCTTTTTAGCAAAACATTTTGAATCATCCCCTGGGTAAATGTTCCATAGTTTACCTAGCTATTCTATTGTAGTTGGACATTTTATTTCCAATGTTTTGTGGGAAAAATTTTTTTTCTGAATTTAGGGTCCCCATCTCCCATTAAAATAGATTCCCAGAGGTGGAATTTCTGTGTTAATGACTATAAACATTTTAACATTTTTGATGAAAATTATGTTTCTTTTAACTAGGTGTTTTTTTTTTTTTAAGATTTTTTTGATGTGGACCATTTTTAAAGTCTTTATTGAATTTGTCACAGTTTTGCTTCTGTTTTATGTTTTTTGGTTTTTTGGCCACAAGGCATGTGGGATCTTAGCTCCCCGAACAGGGATCGAACCTGTACCCCCCGCGATGGAAAGCGAAATCTTAATCACTAGACCACCAGGGAAGTCCCTAACTAGGTGTTTTTAGTGTGTCATTAATTATTCTTAGTTTTGGAGGTCAAGTCACAAAAAAGTTACATACGTTGACCAAATTTGTACCATACTAATAACATTTAGCCATTATTGAATATTAATACAGTTGTTCTAAGGACCTAGTTGGATTATCTCGTTTAATTCCCCAAACAACCGAAACTGACACTCAAGGAACGTAGGCTTGCCTAAGATCACACAGCTGTGAAGTTATAGTAGAATCAGAGTTCAGACCCTTGCAGTCTGATTCTAAAGCTCATGCTTGGAAGCACCTTGCAGTACTGCCTCCTTTAACCCAGCACAGCAAAGCGAAGTTCAAACTAAGCCTGGACCAGGAGCTAGACCTAGATTTCTCTGTCTCTGGGTGATGCTAGAGTTAACTCTGAAGTTGCTACAGAGCAGCAACCTGACGCAAGGGCCAAAGGCTGGTGCACTGGCCATTCGGCCCTGTAAGCCAACTTGCAGCAATGGATTGGCTGCTGCTAATCACACTGCCGTTTTGAAAATTATGTTCCTATGCTTTCCCAAGCCTCTAATTGCCACCCCAATCCTTCACTGCTGTCCTGGACTGCCTGTCTTCTCTTCTGGCTCTTTTAACCTAGTAACTAGAAGGCTTTAAATCCCAAGGCACGGCCCCTTTTACCTTGTCCTACTTTTCGCAGTCAGCACCTGCTCTGTTGTTTACTATTCTTTCACTGTTTCAGCCAGAGATTTCATAGCACCGTCAGGGCAAATGGTTCTCTGCCTTGTCTGTGCATCATAGCCACTTGTGGAACTTTTTAAAAGTTTGTCTCCAGAAATTGTTCAGTAGGCCTGGGGTAGGGGCCAAGTACCTGTATTATTATAAAGCTCCACATTAAGTCCGCTATGCAGCCAGATTGAGAACCTCTGGTCAAGTATTACTAAGTGACAAAAATGATTATCTTAAAGAGAAGGAAACCTTACCTGTTCTATCTCAAGTGCTTGCTGTAGTCTTTTTTTATAACTTTCTTTTTAATTTATTTTTGGCTGTGTTGGGTCTTTGTTGCTGCGCCCAGGCTTTCTCTAGTTGCGGCAAGTGGGGGCTGTTCTTCTTTGCAGAGCACTGGCTCTAGGCGCAAGGGCTTCAGTAGTTGTGGCATGCGGGCTCAGTAGTTGTGGCTCACAGACTCTAGAGTGCAGGCTCAGTAGTTGTGGCACGTGGGCTCAGTAGTTGTGGCTCACAGGCACTAGAGCTCAGGCTCAGTAGTTGTGGTGTAAGGGCTTAGTTGCTCCACAGAATGTGGGATCTTCCCGGACCAGGGCTTGAACCCGTGTCCCCTGCATTGGCAGGCGGATTCTTAACCACTGTGCCACCAGGGAAGTCCCAGTTTATAAGAATTTGCCTGAAGTATTTGTCATTGCCTATAAACAAGGGACAGGACACATAAAGAAGAGTTCTATCCACTATTTGATTTGCTTTACAGAGAGCGTGCATTGAGTTTCTGAAATGTTCTTTGACATTCTTTGGCTTGTGGAAAATCATAAATTGTAAATTAAGGTGGAAAGCCACATGAGGCCTGATAACAAGTAATTGATGGAATTACTTCTTATGGAGATTAAAAACTATCTCCATTTAATAGATGTGGAAACCGAGGCAGAGGTGAACGGTTATACCAAGTCACATAGTGATTGTGTCAGATTGTAGACCTGTATGCTCCTTAGTGTGCGGTGCCTCTCTGCCCTGTGCTCAGAAGTATACACAGGAATGCTAATGGCAACTTTACTTATGAAAACAAAATATCATTAACAACCCTAATGTCTTACTGTTACCTTAGGATACTTTGTAGCTGTTAAAAGTGATATAAATCTGTATTAATGTGGGAAATGTTCATGATATGTTATGAAGCAGGTTACTAAATATTTGGTACATCATGGTCCCATTTTTGTGTAGAAAAAAGAGATGTATTATATCACATGCACAAGTATAGAAAAAACATTAAAAGTGGTTCACTTGGATGCTGTTAAATTTTTCTGTAATTTCTAGATTTTTACAAGTATGTGTTTTACAGCAGGGTGTTTGGGGGGCTGGCAGTTAGGAAAAGGGAAGGAAAATGCTAAAAGGGTCCAGTAAGAATCAAATGACTTATGTGATCTGCTCACTGGGAAATCAACCCCTGGATGATTAAGTTAGCTATAATTTTCCTTGATGAGAACTTGGGGGTATTCTATGGCTTTCACTTCTGATTTTTGTGACCCTCTTTTCTTTTTCAGTAACAGTGACAAGTAGCCAGAGTACTCCTGCCAAAGCCCCCAGAGTAAAGAGCAGTCCATGCATTTCCTCCCCATCATCAGCAGCTTGTGCTCCAAGCTGTGCTGGAGACCTCCCTCTTCCTTCAAATACTGCCACATTCTCTCTTAAAACCCCTCCTGCCAAGACCCGATCTTCCATCAGCAGAAGAGGCTCCATGTCCTCTGTCTCTCCCAAGCCACCCTCATCTTTCAAGATGTCCATTAGGAACTGGATGACCCGGACACCTTCCTTATCACCACCCATGACTCCACCTGCTTCTGAGACCAAGATCATGTCTCCAAGAAAAGCCCTTATACCTGTGAGCCTGAAATCATCCCAAGCAGTGGCTTGCTCTGAGTCTAGAAATAGAGTAAAGAGGAGGCTAGACTCAAGTTGTCTGGAGAATGTGAAACAAAAGTGTGTAAAGAGTTGCAACTGTGTGACTGAGCTTGATGACCCAGTTGAAAAGCTTCATTTGGATCTGTGCTGCCTTGCTGGTAACCAGGAAGACCTTGGTAAGGACTCTCTAGGTCCTACCAAACCAAGCAAGATTGAAGGGACTAGTATGAGTGTCACAGAGCCTCCTTCTCCTGCCAGTCCTTATGCTTCAGAAGGCTGTGGAACGCTACCTCTTCCTTTGGGATCTTGTGGAGAAGGCTCTGAAGTGGTAGGCAAAGAGAATAGCTCCCCAGAGAATAAAAACTGGTTATTGGCCATGGCAGCCAAACGGAAGGCTGAGAATTCGTCTCCACGAAGTCCATCATCCCAAACCCCCAACCCTAGGAGGCAGAGTGGAAAGACTTCTCCAGGCCCGGTAAGTTGGCAGTGGTAGAAGATGCATTTCCCAACTGGCCAGGGCAGGCACAGATCTCTTCTCAAAAGTCAGAATGTTTTGGTTTTTTTTTTAAAGTAAATCTATTTATTCCTAGGATTGCCAGATTTAGCACATAAAAATGCAGGACAAATATTCGTGGGACATATTTATACTAAAAGTTTTTCATACTAAAAGTTATTTGTTGCTTGAAATTCAAATGTAGCTGGGTGTGTCCTGTATTTTATCTGGCAACCCTATTTACTTGCATTAAAATCCCATCTGTCGGGCTTCCCTGGTGGCGCAGTGGTTGAGAGTCTGCCTGCCGATGCAGGGGACACGGGTTCGTGCCCCGGTCTGGGAGGATCCCACATGCCGCGGAGCAACTAGGCCCGTGAGCCATGGCCGCTGAGCCTGCGCGTCCGGAGCCTGTGCTCCGCAACAGGAGAGGCCACAACAGTGAGAGGCCCGTGTACCGCCAAAAAAAAAAATCCCATCTGTCAAGGTCCATACCCCTCAGCCCCATTGCCTGATTCATCAAAGCCTTCTTCATCCTCCAGGATGTCAATTCAAAAATATCTTCCCTCTCCTTTGTTTGACATTATTCCCTTCCCTACCCCCCAGCCCCTGCAGCCTCTTTTTATAGATTCTCTCCCCTTTTTATAGACAAAGCTGTAATTCATGGACAAGTTGCCAACATCCATAAATAGATTTTCAATATGTAATTACAGCTTATAATTATTTAAAATAAAGCAAAATTAAGATACTTACAAAGCAATTTAAGTGAAGAATCCTAGATTTTTATGATTTTTCCCCAGTCTTTTACGATCATCTTGCTCACACCGGTATTTTTGGCAACTCACCTGTATCTGCCTTTTTTTAAACATTCAGTTTAACTTTACTTATCTTTTTATTTAACTTAGATAATTTCAGAAACAGATATTGCTGGCAGAAATAGCTTTGTGAACCTTGAAAACCAAGTGACTCATGGTGGAGGCAGAAGTAGCTGTGAGCATTGGGTGAGCTATGGGTACCACTCAAAGGGAATAGAAAGCTTCTGCTACTCAGTTTGCAAGTTAAGGATGGAGGTGGGTTAAGGAATTTTCTCCTGTAGTTCATAGTAGCTCTTTGTCTGTGTTAGGGAGAAGGTGGAAGAACGATTGAAACCCAATTTAGGAGTCATGATTAGTAACATCTGCCCATTTAAAGGGCAGAAGCTAGATAACCTTAGGCCAGTTCTAGTTTAATAAGTGTTCATATCCCCGTCCTACTGTCATGAAGCCTATCCCATAATTTTAGGAAAGATAAACTAGAAGTTTTTTTTTTTTTTTTTTGGCTTAAACAACAGACATTTATTTCTCACAGTTCTGGAAGCTGGGAAGTCCAAGATCAAGGTGCTATTCTCATCCTGGTGAGGGTCCATTTCTTGGCTTGCAGATGAGTTGTCTTATTGCTTTATCATCATATGGTGGTGGTAGAAATATTTTAAAGATTACTTCAAACACAAATTCCAAGACCTGCTACAGAATATTAAAAAAAAAAAAAACTATAAGTAGTCTTTCCTTTTTTCTCTCAAAATTATCCCTGTAGGTGATCTTTGCCCCTAGCTAAAATTCCTATTATTATAGGAATTTTATTTCAGGGAGCTAGTCCAAGCTATGTGTTAGCAGAAAAGCAATTTCAATAAAAAATTGTTTTCATGAATGTGTACACCTTAAAGGCTGTAAAAAATAGTGTGCTGGTCCAAGATATTTCTGGCTTTATAATTTCAATCTTTGAAGCTTAAGTTTCTTTAAAATAATTTTTTTCTTTATGTACATGTTGATAATGTAGACTTCAGAAAAGGGTAGTATCTGCCATTTGAATACCTATCTCGTTTGTAAATTTGGGAGGGTGATTTACTCACGTATTTCAAAGAGGATGGTAATTGTAACCTCTTTGGTTCCTATTACGAGGCTTAACTGGCAATATTTTCTGTTCACATGAAAAATCTGTTTCCTCCTTCCTTGCATGCTGCCTTAAATTTTTCTGTATTTAGTACAAATCAACCAAAAGAGACATTGCCATCAAAGTATTTGAGACTGAAATCTATCTGACTAAATAAGCAAATTTCTAGGCATCCTAACTTAAAATACCCTTAGTGATAACTTGCTGAGGTAACAGCTGAACTTTGTCTTAGAAAATCTTTAGAATCTAAACTTTCTTCTTCTAGGTCACCATTACTCCCAGCTCCATGCGGAAAATCTGTACATATTTCCATAGAAAGTCCCAAGATGGCTACTGTAGTCCAGAACAGTCAACAGAATTATAGATTCTCATCTGAGTGAGTTAACTGAACTTTGACCCATTAAAACAGATAAAAAATTCAACAGAGTGACTCTGTAACTCTGGTTTTAAGAAAGCTACCGTTTTTTCCTTTTTAGAGAAAATCCTTTCAACTCCGAAATTTACCTAGCCTGGTTCTACTGCCATGGTGTACCGTGCAGCTTCCTCGGAATGAATGCTGTGTTTAAATTTCATAAAGTAAGTTTGTCACTGTGTAACATTTTGAATGAGTAGTCTTTACTTTTTAAATTATGCATCCTCCCTACAATAATGACATCCTATGTCATAGAGGCAAAAAAACAAGTGTTGTCTCTCTTACTCTGAAACTTTCTGGGCACAGTGGAAAGTATCTGCAGGCCACAGCAGGAGGCCTGTCTGTGAAGGTCAGCTGCTGAAGAGGACCCTGGGTCTCTGCTGCTTCCAACAAATACAGTTTCATATAAAATATATATAATCTTTTCACTACATTTTTGTGGGGTTTTTTAAGTATGTGGTAAAATGTGATGTTTAGATAAGCAAATTTATATTGATTCAGTGTTAAAATACAATCTCAAGTTAAAATCATCTTTATTTTAAAAGCAGTGATAAATATCAGCTCGTTGGAGAACACTAGAAATGTTTGTCTTTTTTTCCCCCGTATATATCTCCCACATGAGATCTAAGGTTCTCATATTTTTACCAAGCAGTCTACTATGTTTCCAACCCAACATCACGTTCTAGAAAAGGTTATAGTTTTTGCCATTTACTGGAGGAAGATGTTTATAGAATCAGTAGTCACTGAAACTGGAGTTTGAATTCAGTCTTCAGTTCTCTAGGGGCTGCTACTTTTTTAAAAAAGAAGTCATCAGATTTTAAGAAAAAGTAATGATTTTTATTGATATTTTTATAAAAGTAGGTAGTTCTTAACTGAAAATCCAGAACCTAAAGAGTAAATCTTGACTTTAACTTGATTTTTTGGATTCTCTTTATATACGAAAAAGCAATGATCTTCTAGTAGAGCCCTGAGCCAAACATCATAGAATTTTCTCTAGGTATTTAATAGAGAGAGTGTACAGACTGACTCTCAGTTAATAGTGTGCAAAATATCTTGAGTATCCCTTACCTTAACAGTTACGTATCAATCAGCTTCAAATGAACCATTGTTTTATATTTTAGCCCTTTGTAACCTTATAGAAACAAGCTCCGTGTACTTCCATGTACTATGTCCTTGGAAGGGAGTCCTCTTCCAGCCATGAAACTTGATTCATTTTATCCACATCCCTGAGGACTGTGTAGACTTTATTCATACTCTTGTCATCATTTTAAAATCTATTCTTAATGATAACTCTTTAATTCCTTTGATTCTTATAAATGAAGGTGTAACAACAAGAACTGCATGGGTCAGTTAGCATGGGTTCTCCTGGTTTTATCCAAGGAGAAAGGTAAATAAAGGAAAGCCACAGAAATGCTATTTTCGAAACAAAGTATGCCGTAGCATTAATTGAATATTTAAGAACTCTACTTATATTTGATGTTTGATTTTTGTGTGTTTGTGGGAAGGTGTTATTTATGACCAATACCTGCCAATAATGCAATCTATCTTTCTTGATTTGAAAGCCAGTGGGGAAAAGGATCCATGAAAAAGAGAACTGAAGTAGGTGGTTTTCTTCTTTGTATCCCTGCTCATCTGACAGTTTCTGCTGAGTAAAATTGGGGATAAATGTGGCTGTCAGAAACTGTGCTGAGAGTCTACTGAGTGTAACATTCCCACTTGGAAAACTAGTACTTCAAATGGGTGCCAAAGGTCAAATGTAATGAGATAATAATTATCCCTGCTTGTGTCAGTGTCAGACTTTGAGCTGCTCCTGAATAATAAAGCCTTTTACCTTATCTGATGTTCTTTTCTGAGCTTTTGCATTAACCTAGAAGCAGTCTGTCTACACAAAAGAACTATAGCAGTAATCAAGAATCCCTTCTACTTGCTTATTGAATAAAATTTGTTTATTCCCAAGGACATGATCTAGTTCAGGCTGAAAGAGGTTTTCATAAAATACGTCTTGCTTGATCAGACCTTGAGTGTTTAAGGTGGCTTGGATTACTTGATAAAGGAGGGTGGGGTGGTGTAATTCTTTTTAGAAACAAGTATTTCCAGCCCAAGGTTTTCTATTTGAATACACTCCAAGCACTTTTGCTACAAAGCTGTATTAGAGTTTCCGTTTGGCTGTTTCAACACAGGCCCTTAATTTACTTTTGCAAGGGTTGACTGATTAGTCCTTTAAAATGTCTCTTAATCTAGGCTGCGCTTTCAGTTGGTGATAAATCAGAATCATGTGTAGCTTACCCCGTTGGGGTGGCAGAAGGCAGGTTCAGCCCACCATCCCTATCCCCAGCCTTAATAACTTAAAACTTTAAGATTTTTGGGACACCCTGTGTAGGAGGCATTTTTTAAAACCTCAACTGTGCAATATGCATGTCTAGACATAACTTTTTTCTTTTTAAGTGTGTGTGTGTGTGTGTGTGTGTGTGTGTGTGTGTGTGTGTGTGTGTGTGAGTTGCTTTAACCCTCACCTTGAAATTAGCCAGTGGCAATGATCTTGTATAGGTCACAGCAGTTTAACATATGCTTTTTGAGAGCCTGTTGTAGCCGACACACTGCTGCTCTTAGGTCTGTTCTTCTGCTTTTCCTAGTTCCAAAAGGGACAGGACTTCCTCTCACACTGCTCTTAAAGCAAAGGACAAGCAGTCTCACAGAGAGAATCCGTTCCACAGCTAGGTGGTTTGGGCAACATTTTACAGAGGTGCATCAGAAGAGAAACTGAGTGAGGATGTCGTACTAGAGAACCTGAGTTCTTGTCCTCCTTGTGGCAGTTCAGCACAGGTGTCTGCTTTGTAATTATATACAGGGCTGAATGCTGGCCCCGTTGAGCATCACACCGCTTCCCACACAGGTCTCCATAGGAGATCCTTTGCCTGCCGTCGGTTCGGATCATGCCACATCACGGATTAACCGGTTACGCATCAGATTCCTAGGAATTGTGGAAAAACCTGCATTGTGCATGTGCTCTTTAGAGATTGTTTGCACGTTATAAGCAAGCCAAACAACATTTTGTTGGATGTGAAGTGAGTCAAATACTTCATTAGATCCAATGCCAGGAATACAAGCCCAGCTTGCTATAAGGGACTCACTTTGTCATCTAAAGGGGTAGAAAAACCTGTTTTATTTCGAGCTACGTTTGAGCACATGCTAAAAAGTGTAAGGGTTGTTATAGAATTATGTAAAGTCAAGTCAGCCTTTAAAAAAACATTAGGCAGCTTGTTTGGATCAGTATGCCTACAGCAAGTATGTACAACACAAATGAGAGGTGTTACAGTATTAAAGCATAGGCTTATTCCATCCCTGAAGCTCATCCCTCCCACTTCCCTGCTAAGCCAGGAAAGAGGACTTCAAGGATATATAACCAGGTTCTTAATTTTGAATTTCAAAGGTTTAATATTCCATTTATACCCCATTTCTCTTTAATTTCCTTAACTTGCCACTTGCCCTTTCCCGTTTTGACATTCTAAATAATTCAAGCTATTTTGTAGAATATGAATAGCACATTTTAAATGCCTTTGATTGGAAGACATTCAATTCAGCCAACACATCCATCACCTGGAAGATGTTCAATTCAGCCAACACTTATTTATTCACTCCTGCCAAGCCCTGTGTGAAGCACCTGGTCTGCAGAGTTCCTCCCTTTATTTTCAGTAGTCAAAGAAGTCAATTTATCTGTGGCGCTTCAATAGGCTAAAGTCAGCATTTGAGGGAAACAGGCAAAGATCGGATTTTCACGTCCTTTGAATGAAGTTGTGAGCAGCTACGATGTAGCAAGTGCTGGCTAGATGCAGACTCTTCCCTCCAGGAACTTCATTCAACTGCCACTTAAAGCACCTTTAACTTTTCAAAGTAAGATGCTTTCCTCATGCATGTTTCATATATTCTTTATAACACTGTAAATAACAGTTAAAAACATCTCTAGACTGCATAGCTTTGAATTCCAGCCCTAGCTGTATGACCTTTGGCAAGTTCCTTAACCTCTCTGTGAATCAGTTTCCATGAGATGTGTGGTTATTACATGTACAGTTCTTAGGACAGTGCCTAATAGCATGTAATAGCTTACATTTATTGAACAATTACTGTTAGCTATTATTCTCATAAGGTAGGGAGGGCAGGGGTTGTTAACCATATTTGATAAATGGACATAAAGGTTTAAGTAACCAGTTCTTCTGACATTCCTGTTCCACTACAGTTGTGATCCTCAGTTAGGGGAACTAAATCAGAATCACCTGGGAAGCTTCGCCTGGGCCTCCAGTCTTAGCACTTTTCAAAAGGAGCAAATGGGCCTCTGGGAAAAAAAACTCTATTTCCCCAGGTGTTTGAGATTCATGACTCTTTCTCACCAGGTGTACATGAAAATTACAGAGGTTATTTCATATATAGCCTCAGCCACTGTTTAAAGAGGCTGTGGTTTGCAAATCTATATCCTGGACTCTCAAGTAAGCCAAAGACGTTGCTTACCCAAAGCCCACCCTCCCTGGACTCTCAAGTAAGCCAAAGACTTTGCTCACACAAAGCCCACCCTCCCATTGCCTGACCGCTGCCCCCAGCTGTGCTACATTGTTTAAGATGTGTTCACCTTTAGGGAGGAAGCTGCTGCTGGGGGACATTTAGAGCCAAGTCTTGATCATTTGTTGGGCTATTGTGTTCCCTGGCCAGCGAGTAGGCAAATAAGAGGTAAAGCTCAAAACAGGCTATGCTGCTGTATTAGTAGCTCTGATTTTGTAAGAAACTTAGAGTCAAACATTTGGTTGAGGAGTACTGTGTAAGTCTCTAGATTCTTTTCCCTCACTTCAGTGAGATTCTTCCCTGAGCTCTTTTTCAATGCCAATAATACTTAAGTGCCTTTATTTCATCAGTGCCAAAATACCAGCCATGAAGGTTTGACATTTTGGTGGACAAACCCAACATCGAGGTTTCAGTTGGCATCTGTGTTGCCACTGCTGCTGTTCAAGACCGTGATTTCCAATTACGAGAACTTATAGAATGTAGCATTCTCTTATTAGGAGTTGGCACCTTCCTCTCCGAACAGTCCTCCATGTTGGACCCCTTCATCAGTTTGTGCCAGTTATCAATTCAGGTGAAGATGTAAAGGGCTGATTTTTTTTTTTCTTTCTGTTAACAGCCTTACTTTTAAATCCAGAGTTTAGAAGTAATTATACAAGTGGGCCCTTCCCTATTATATTACCAGATAACGTATGTTATTGAAATAACAAACTATAAATAAACCATCTGGCCTTGCTATGCTGATACGAAGTTAGCACATAATGTCATACGTCACTCGATAATCATTCAGCACCAGTCTTTTCCTCTTTTTAATTTCTCTTCCACCTTTTCCCCATCACCTACAGTACACTCAAACATGATTTTCCAAGAATTATTTGAAAAGAAGCATAATAGGATTTATGAAGTGTAACTGAAATAATAGCGGTATAGGAACTGAAAAGTTAAAATCCAGTAGGCATTATTGCCCCAGTAATGGGTCAATATTTGGTCCAACAGTTAGTGTCAAGTTGGAAATGCTACTTCCATAAAAGCCTTATTAGATTTTTCTAGCTTTATGTGGGAGTATGATTCCAAGTCCAAAACTCAATGTCTTCACAAAGAGGTTGACTAGCAGACAAGTTGAAATGAATATTAATAACCTTTGAGTGGGAAAGAGAAATGATAAACATTTCTCAGCTTCCTAGTTAGGTAATGAGGTATTGGCTTTTAAGTGTTGCAGCTATAATTAAGTATCTGGTTTTGGAAAACTACCTCCTAAAGCTAAGAAATGTAAGCAACAAAAGTCTGGAATTATACATGGAATGCCTGCAGAGTCAGGAAAATTAGAATGTGGTTTTTTGATGATTAAGAATGGTTTCTATTCCAGCCAACTCTCCTGTACAATAAATTGCACAAAGAGAGGATGCTGTTTAGAGCAGCTTGTTAACTCGAGTTATCCTGTGGTGTCCTCATGCCTTCCTGTTTACTTTGACAGCATTTCTAATCCCATTCACTTTTTCATGGTATTTTGGCCAGCTGAACAGTAAATGAAGCCAGGGTTGTGAGTTGGATTCCCAAATGGCCTATTCACTTCACTCTGTTCTGTGGCCACAGGCAGCCTGTCACATGCCTCCCCTAGCAAGCCACCCCACAGAGGGTGGTACAAACTCATAGTACATCCTGAAGGCATTCTGAATTCCTGTCTTTCCTCACTTCTCCCTATCTTATGACCAAGTTTATAAACCTCTTTTAATCAAACTTATAGATTCTTTCATGTAATACACACAATAACCCAATAAGTGACTATAATTGTTATCTACATTTTGACAGATCCACATTTAGACAGAAACTAAAGCATGAAAGTTCAGTAGCTTGCCCAAGGACACATAGCCAACAAGTGGCAGCTTGTAGATCGGTATGACTCAAAAGCCCACAGTACTAATTCCCATACTATAATAACTTACAGAAAGAAGCCTGTCCCTGGCCCTCTATTAATCAAATATATGCTTTCTGGGCTTCCCTGGTGGCGCAGTGGTTGCGAGTCCACCTGCCGATGCAGGGGACACGCGTTCATGCCCCGGTCTGGGAAGATCCCACATGCCGCGGAGCGGCTGGGCCCGTGAGCCATGGCCGCTGAGCCTGCGCGTCCGGAGCCTGTGCTCCACAACGGGAGAGGCCACAACAGTGAGAGGCCCACATACCGCAAAAAAAAAATATATATATATATATATATATATACACACACATATATATATATACATATATATATATATATGCTTTTCATTTTGTGTACATTTGAAAGAGAACTCTCAA